GAAAGGGGACCAAAGTGAAAGGAAATGAGATCGTTTAGCTGAGATAAGAGAAAAGCAAGGGGGCAGCACAGGTCTGGCAGAAGCAGAGTGGGCAGCCCAAGTTCCCCCTTCTGTGCCTGCAGCTGCACAGAACTCACTGGCTTTCCTGTCCCCACTGCTGCCACCCATGCCCAGTCTCCTCGCCTCCACCTGCTCTCAGAAAAGATCTCATAAAGTCACTCACAGACACCTAAGTCATTGATCATTAAAACAGGGAGGGCTAACAAGACCCCCAGCCCGCCGGTTCCCAATCTGTTTACCATCAAGAACTCCTCATATGTCTCCTCCCTCAGAGCGTCCGTATTTGGAGGATTTTAGAATAACCTCTGTTCAGCACCTGCTCCTGTGGGTCATTCACTGAACTAAGAATTTTTCCCTTATTACTACATCGGATGCTGGGAAGAGAGTATAACTACCTCTGTTTTACATGTGGGAAAGCTAAGATGGAGAGAAGTGTGTTTGCCCCCAAATCCCACAACTAGAAAGCAGGAGAGTGAGACTCAACCTAGGTCTGTGTGGCTTCAAGGTCCCACATGCCACCAGCTTTTAAGAAGAAATAGCTTGTATACCCAGCAATTGTACTTCTAGGTATACATCCAAGAAAAATGAAAATGTATGTCCACTTAAAAATGTATATACAAATGTTTACAGCAGTGTTATTCAGAATAGCCAAAAAGTAGAAATAACTCAAATGTTCAACAACTGATGAATGGATATTTTATAGAAATGTAGAATTTCCATATAATGGAATATTATTTGGCAATAAAAAGGAATGAAGAAACAACACATGCTACAACATGCATGAACGTTGAAAACATTTTGCTAAATGAAAGAAGCCAGTCACAAAAAGATCACATATTTTATGATTTCATTTACATGAAACTTCTAGATAGGCAAATATAGAGATACAGAAAGTAGACTAGTGGCTGCTGAGGACTGGGGTGATGGGGAGATAGATAAGGCAGTGATCCCTAAAGGGTAATGAGTTTCTTTTTGAGATGATGAAAATTTTGTGAAATCACGTGTGGTGATGGTTGCACATAATAACTGTGAATATACTAAAAACTGTTGAGTGTATACTACAAACAGGTGGATTGTATGACATGTGGATTAAATCTCAATAAAGCTATTTAAAAAGACATAGCTCATTCTACGACTGACAAGTTACTATGGTTCTGTCCCTCAAAGGTTGAGAAGCAGAAGCTGCATGGTACAGTGGACAGAATAAGAGCTTTGGGACCAGTGCCCTTAGAAAGTTTGGTTAACCTTTCTGAGCCCCTTTCCTGAGGCTAGAAAGCCCCCTCTCACTAAGTTATTATTATGGTGTATGGGAAAGCCCCCAGCCCCTCTAGTTCTAAATTGCCTGACTTTGAAGTTTGAGGCTTGAGTAAAGAGGTAAATATGGGAGGTGTCTGTGGGCAGAGAGGTTTCTCTTTCAATGAAGTCCCATCCACGAGGGACTCTTCCCTCCTGTGTGTGCCAGAAGCTGGTCAACCAAAGTCCTGGAAGAAGAACTTGGTGATTAGCTGCCCTGTGTCCCCTGAGACACCCCAGATAAAAGGGACCAGGTAGAAACTGGAAAACAAAGGGGATTTTTGTGAACTCTAGGGACAACCCCGCTGGCCTTGGAAACTGCTGGGAGCTAGAACTGGGGGAGAGACTTATGGGAGAACTAAGAGAAAGTCAAACTCCTAAGATAATAAAAATACAACTCTTTTTCAAAGTAGTAGGATGGCTTGGATCATTCTGATGTATTTTTTCCCAACTATGAAGCATCTGCCAAAAATGCAAAGATGCTTTTCTGAAAACAACTGGGGGACAGAAAGAGGTATAAAAAAGCTAAGCAAGTAAAAAATAAAACCAAAAAAAAAAAAATATCAAACAATTTGGTAATAGAAGTACTTAATACTAGGAAATGGTACTAATATGCTAACCATGATGGTAAAGTATAGTTGATCCATATTATTTCACAGATTCCATATTTATGAATTCATCCACTCACTAAAATGTATTTGTAATCTCAAGATCACTACTCCTGGTGCTTTTATGGTCATTTATGGATATAAACAGAGCAGTGAAAAATTCGAGTTGTCTAAGGAGTATGTTCCCAGAAGAGGATGAACAAATGCTTTGCTTTCTTGTTTCGGCTCTCATACTGTGTTTCAGCTCTCATACAAGTGTCCTTTTCACAGTTTATTTAGTGCCATGGTTTCTGTATTGTTTTAATTTTCATAGGTAATTTCACAGTTTAAAACAGCCCCCAAATGTAGTGCTGTAGGGCTGTCCAGTCCTAAGCATAAGAAGGCAGTGATGTGCCTTACTGAGAAATGTGTTGGATAATCTTTCTTCAGGCATGTGTTACAGTGATGTTGGCCATGAGTTTCATGTTAACGAATCAACAATATATACTAAAACGTCTTTAAACAGAAAAATACACGAAAAAAGGTTATGTTTTGATCAGTAGACAAAAATGTCGTGACCAGAGGCTCACAGAAACCTAACTCTATATTTTCTCTAGGAGCAATAGTTCAATATTTGCTATTCAGTGTTTGTGGTGTCCTTATAGAATATAACTATGGGAAATAATGAGAATTGACTGTAAATGCTATGCATTTTTCATACATTATCTTATTTTAATGCCCACAAAGTATGTGTTATCTTGGTTTTACAGATAAGGAAATTGAGGTTATGCATGTTGGACTATGTGATGTGAAGCTAACATGTGAAAGTGGTAGCATTTGAATTCATTTCTGTCTAATTCTCCAGAGGGGGAGGGAACTCTCTAGCCCTTCAACTGCAGTGCCGATTCCTAGGAAAAGGCGGCCAGTCAGTCCATATCAGAGATGGTAGAAGAACACAAGGCAAGCTGGGCTTAGTCAAGAACAATCTAAATCAGAGAAAGGAAGATGAAAGAACTGCACATAATACTCCAGATGTAGTGTGCTCTGGTCAGACTGTAGCTATGTTGGTGGGGAAGAGATAAACTGCAATCTGCACAGGAGAGAGGCACCAGCATGGAGAGGATTCTGGGAGCCAAGACGTCAAGACAGAAATGATGGAAGGAACAGGAGCTGTGCAGTGTAGGAATGCCAGTGTGGAGGCAAACAGGGTGATCTGTAAATGTCCGAAGAGCTATCTTGCGGATGAAGAACTAGATGGAAAGCAGAATGAGGACTGCAGGTTGACAGTTTCAGGAGACAGATTTTGGCTCAATGTAAAGAACAATTTATGATATTCAGAGCTGCCCTACAAGCCAAGATTGAAACCTGTGGTCCACGGGCCACATCCACATGCAGACATACTCTGTTGGCTTGCAGTGTTTTTTTAGAAAATGTATTTAAATGCCTTCTGTGGGGCATGTCCCCTTGTTTCCATAGCTGCACCACTCCCAGTGCTCTTAGTTCCATGTCACTCCTGTGTCACCTGCTTTGCCCTTGAAGTAATGTTGTCAGATTTAGCAAATAAAATTACAAGATACAGTTAAATTTTAAGACAATTTCTTAGTATAAGTATGTCCCATGCAAGACATGGGATATACTCATACCATATTTGTATTTATATTCCAATATTTGGGATTTAATAATACTGTCCTGTACTTAATCTGGCAACCCTACCCTGGAGGCTTTAAATGGAAGCTCTGGTGTTGCATTTTGAGACAGTGGGCTCCGTATTTGGGAAATATTCAAAGACTTGTCTCAGAGGAATGCTTGGGATGGAAACAGGCATAAAACGGTTTAAGGATGTCCTTGCCTCTTTTTCTTGAGATCCCTTATTTCAGAGTAACAAAACAACAAAAGGTAGGATGACTCTGAATTACCAGGTAGTGTTCTGGGTGTGGTTGACGGATGGGGCACCAGCTTCTTGTTCTAATAGCAGAATGTTCTACCAAAAGAGCTAAGATTGATAGATAGATAATGACATAAAGTAGTTTTGATTTCTAATATCATTAGCCAGTAAAATTCTTTTTAAGCAAAAAGTTGATTGGTGTGTCTGCACCTGGGAGGATGGTGGCAATGTCTTTCTGGATTAGGCATGTTATATGCCAAAATGATAATTCTGCTTTTATCTGTCTAAAGCCATTTTCTACTTCTCTGAAACTGTGGTTAGTCATCCTAACACTTCTTGTTTTCCTATCCTGCTGCCAGAACTTCTTTTCTGGTTGTTTTGAACAGATTGTGACCAAGGAACATGGCAGCCGTTGATATGAGAGAAGAGACTGATACTAACTCACTCCGTTACCACAGCTTCAGTTTCTTCAGTGGAAAATGAGTAGCAGATCTCTGAGGTCACTTCCAGAAATTATGCTTCTAAAACTAAGTGTCAATAGTCTGGGGTCATCTGCTAGTCTTTCAGTGTCCTCCTACTAGCCTCTGGGGGATTAGCATGTTTGTGTTTGATGGGACTCGAGAAAGAATTTGGTTCAACTCTCTCATTTCGGAGATAAGGGGAACACAGTAGGGTGACAAGGTCCGGAGCTAACACAGTAGGGTGACAAGGTCCAGAGCTCTCTGCAGCTCAGCAAATGGCTTTCCATTTCTTCCTTCCAGAGAGTCTCTGGATCTTAAACAAGGGACTTCAGGTGACTTATGGCCCTGCTGTTTTCAAATAATAACCCTGTTTTCACAGTTGTACTTACATTATATACAGAGAACTCCAGCCAATATGTGTTGAATGAATGTGCTGGAAATAAGGAGACAAGAACAATGGCTCTGGTAGCAGAAATATCCTAGACCAAATCCTGGCTCCTCCATTCACCAGCTGGAGAATTTGGGCAAGTTTTTAATTTTTAAATTTCACTGCCTCAGTTTCTTTATTTATAAAATGCAGATAAACTACCTCTCATAGGGTTGTGAAGAGAAAATGGAATAATGTAGGCACTTAATAAATGATAGCAATTATTATTGTGCCTGTTGAATTAATGCAAAACATAAGCAAAAAGAACCATCACATGGCAGTATCATTTTCTAACCTTTTAATGTGATCTCACTTTGTTTGGCACAAAGATCTAGCCTGGTAATCTGATGGATGAGTTGTTTTGTGTGACTGTCCACGGTGGTGGGCACTACATTGCTGATCCCTAGAAGCATTTAAGGAGAGGCGTTATAGTCAGCAGTGGGATGCATGCCAACTGTTTTATTTATGATGCCTATTTGGACCAAAAGGCCAGCCAGCATTTGGGCCCCAGGAACAAGCCTATGGCCTCATTCACATCATTACTCCACAATGCGGCGGAAAGACTGGACAGCGGGGGAAGCTGCACTCCAATCGATGGGCTTCCGGTACTCCTTCTTCTCCAGGAGGTACTGCCTGCCGCGGTAGTTGGGTAGCTCATAGAAAATCCAGACACCCTCCAGCACCTTACAGGAGTGGATCTCTCGCATGTGAAACTGATCCATGATGGAAGGGCAATCTTCAGTGGTTTCATACATCTGACCACTAAAATCCGCCTTCTCAAAGATCTGAATCTTATACTGGCCTCCGCTGGGCTGAAAAGAACACAAACAGCAACCATTATGGCAATCACCAGCAGGTTAAGAACTTAGAGAACAGGATGGTTCCAAATCTACTACTTTAAAAGCTAGATGATCTAAACTTCCATTTCCACTGTGTACTGACTGAAACAGCTATCTTTTTATTTTTAATTATTATGGGAACATTACAGTTATATGTCTTTATAGGGTACATGTGATGTTTTGATAAAGGAATATAATGTGTATTAATCAAATCAGGGTAATTGGGATATCCATCTCATCAAGCATTTATCATTTCTTTGTGTTAGGAACATTTCAACCTCCCTCTTTTAGCTATTTTAAAGTATACCCTAACTTATTGTTGATTATTGTCATGTTGTGCTATCAAATATTATTCATTCTATCTGACTATCTAACTATATTTTTGCACCTATTAACCATCCCCCCCATCCCCACTATCCTTCCCAGCCCCTGGTAACTGTCATTCTAGTCTCTGTCTCCATGAGATCAATTGTTTTAATATTTATTTATCTTTCACATTTAAGTGAGAACATGTGAGATTTGTCTTTCTGGGCTTGGCTTATTCCACGTAACATAATGTTCTCCAGTTCCATCCATGTCGTTGCAAATGGCAGCATTTCATTCTTATGGCCATATAATTTTCCATTGTGTATATGTACCACGATTTTTTTATCCACTCATCCACTGATGGACATTTAGTTTGATTCCAAATCTTGGCTCTTGTGAATAGTGCTAAACAGCTGACTTTTAATAAGAAAAAAATTATCTCCTCAAAATACTCAAGAGGCAGAGGAAGTGCCATGAGAATAATTAGTGTATTCAGTCCTGTGATAAACTGATCTAAGATGTTATTTAAGCGTCAGCAGCTAACAAAAGACAGCCACACATTAAGACGTAGAAAAACCTCCAGAAAACTTTCACATAAAAGCAAGGGGGGGGCGTGGGGGTGGAGAGAGAGAATAAGGGAGCCAGGGAGGGAGGAGGGAAGGCGGGAGAGAACGTGAGCAAGTGGGCAGACATACCAGATGAACGGCTCTGCAGGAGCTGAGGCGGTCGTTGAGGCCCATCCAACGCTGGTATTCAGGGTACTCTCCCTGAGGTAAGATGTACATGTATCCAGCAAAGTTGGGTCTTTCGTACACAGCCCAGGTGCCTCCTTCCACTCTGATGGAGTTGCAGCGACTTAGGTAAGTGTGGAAATCTGCACAGTCGCAATCACAGTCATAGCGGCGGCCTTGAAAATTTTTGTCTTCATAGAAAGTGATCTGAAGTACAGGCAAACAAAGAAAACTGAGGAATTGGGTAGCTTTATTCACAGATGAAATAAAAATTAAGAACATATTGCCCTCCTTTAGAAATATTTTGAGGAGAAATATATAGTTCTACCTCACCTCACAAAATATGCTTTCTGGCAGACAACTTTTTAGTTGGCAACAATAGGAATGAGTACTTTCTGAAGGCTTAATATGAAGCAAAACAGAGGAGTGCTCTAATAAAAGCCAACAGTTTCAGACTCAAGTCTTCCTTTATGTGCCCACAGCTCTCTCTACTTACATTATATTATAAATTACTCATTCGTATGGTGATCCCTCCCACTAGACTCCTGCTAGATTTCTTCCAAGGGCAAGGACCAAGCCTTACTTAAGCTATGATCCCCTGTGCTCAGCACTCGACAAGCCCTCAATAACTGTTTGATGAAGATGAGTGAGTTCCAAATGCAGAAACTCGTGATAAGTGATATATAGTGAAAAATACAACATAAACCTTAGCTTTAGAAAGATTATTTTAGATGGATATAGAGTACAGAGCATATACCCACGCAAATATACATATTTTGTTCTGTATTATTAGCTTATTGCCAACAGAGTAGTTGCAAAGTAACAAAGGCAAGAATATTCTTTTTGTTTTGTTTTTCAATACAGAGTCTTGCTCTGTCCCCCAGGCTAGAGTGCAGTGGCATCATCATAGCTCACTGCAACCTCTAACTCCTGGGCTCAAGTAATCCTCCTGACTCCTGCTGAGTACCTGGAGCTACAAGTGTGTACCACCATGTCCCGCTAATTTTTTAAGTTTTTTGTAGAGATAGGGGTCTCGTTATGTTCCCCAGGCTGGACTCAAACTCCTGGCCTCAAGCGATCCTCTTGCCTCAGCCTCCCAAAGTGCCGGGATTACAGGTGTGAGCCATAGTGCCTGGCAAGGAATGCTCTTTGCTTCACACTGTCACCAAGTTTCTACCACAATGCCTGGGGTATCTCTGATGGCAGCCATGGGAAACCAGTAATGAGAAACCTGGGCTCTAGAGCTACCTCTCCACAAACAGGCTTACAACCTTAGTCAAGTTGCCTCTCTGGGCTTCAGCTTCCCATTTTGTCAAATGCAAGGACTAGAGTAGATGGGAACCCCTGGCTGTAAAACAACTCAAGAGCTTTTCTGGTTGAAATAGGGGATAGAGTTCCCAGGAACTCCTAAGGATTCACGAAGCATTTTCTGAAAACCACTATAAAAAACACAAATGGCCTACAGAGTTTATTCCTTGTTGCTCAATAATTCCACAATCTAAAATCAATGTTAGGTTTAAATTTAAACTGAAACTACCGATGGCATGCTTTGAGCGGTTAATAGCATTATGCTGCCCCCTTGTGGCTGATTTGCTTCATGGATTTAAAAGCAGAAAATCATGTGAGTCATTTCAGATCAAAGTAGAGCCAGGTAGAATCTTGAGAGGATCTTGAGCTGAGGAATGAAGGACAAGTGAGTATTTTCCAGAGGCAAAGAAAAAGAGAAGTCTGTTCAAAGATTAAAGAAGTGAAAGAACATGGGGTCCATTACAGGGACAATAGTTTGTTAAGCCTAATATATTTCGAATATGTGAAATATTAGAAAATAAAGCCAGAAAAATGACACAGGAGCCATGCTAGAATCCCTCTGGTGATTATTTGAGAGCTGTACATAGTAGTCTGTACCTGGAAATAGACAGCTGCTATGGGCCAGGTGTGAGATGATGAGAGCCATTGAAAGGCAACTGCTATGTGAATTTAGAGTTTGGTGACTAATTACATGTAGGGAATAAAGGAAAAGACATAGCACAGATTTAGATACATGGCACCTCAGTTTATAGATGAAGAAAAAAAAAATCCCAGCACTACTGCTTACTTGCTGTGTGACCTTGGACAGGGCATTGAACCTTTCTCTAAAGCTCTTCATTTGCAAAATGGGATGGTAGTATCTACTTCAGAGGGATGTTCTAAGAGTCCAATGGCATAATATTGATAAAGTACTTAGTTTAATGCCTGACTCATAACTGCCAATAAGCTTTTGCAATAGTTGTTACAGATGAAGAAGTGACTTGCCTAACGTTACTAGCTAGTTACCAGTTAGTTGCAAGCAAGCCAGTGACTGCAGAGCAAAATTCCTGGTTAGTAATCTGTGGTTCACTTCATTTTCTTTTGCCGTCTTCCTACCTGCACAACTAGCTCTGTTTAACATGGCAGCACTTACTCTCTTAGACACTGAACAAGACTGATCCTGAGCCGCAGGGGCTTTTCCCATGACCATGGAGAGATCTTTAGGAAAATCAAGTAACTTCTCTAACAATGGCTAGATTTTAAACTACTTAATTCATATGCTCAATTCGCCTTTGGTTTTTTGGTAATTCACAAAAAAGGAGGTGTTGCAAGAGATATGCTATGGGAAATGGGGTTAATATGTATTTTATTTCATGGTTTCTCAGTTACTGCCCTCTGCGCATTTGCTTGACTGATATCAATGTCTGAGAAGTGGAAATATGCACCATACTCAATAAGCTCCCTGGATGTTCACCCTCCCAGTAGATGAGCCAACCACCCCAAGGTTGAAACAAAGCACTTTTCCTGTTACTATGGAATCATTACTGAGCTCCAGGACCACGCTCTCTTTTCAGTGGGAGACCTTCCAAATCTCAGAGCCAGAGAATGTTGCACCTAGCTATGCTCAATTTCTATTCGTAGAAGAACCATGAAATCTCCACTACTGTCAGCTAAGAGATTTTGGCCCTTTGGCAAAAATTTTGTAGAGAAGGCTAAGAAACATACAGAAGGTTTTCCTAGAAATTATTACAAAATTTCTCTCATTTTCAAGTTTATATTTTTGAAAAATAGCCTACTAATCCAATGCAGCAGAAAGAAAAACATCTTAAGTATCCCAGAAGTACAAAAACATACTTAGTAAAACTTCATTCCTTCTACCAAGCCCATAACTCCTCTGATTCAACTGATAGCAAGATAGTGGGAAAGGGAGAAGCAATGAGAAAGAGTAAGAAATAACTTACTGTGTCCTTTGGCCTAGCAAGCAAAAATTACTTAATTAAATGAACAACTCAGCTATAAATAAGATAGTACACTATTACTACTCTGGAAATCTCTAAAATCGAGAGATATTTTCATATGTCTAAGACACTTACATAACAGCCTTCGCTCAAGGCACGTGGATACCTCTCTAAGGACTTGAAATTCCTTTTTAGTGGAATCTGTGTGGCATCTTTTCAAGAACCTCAGAGCACTAACAACACTTAGTTGTCTCCCCAAACCTTCTGGATGACAAACATGATTATTAGTTCTATTTTCCAATGGAAAAATATCAGGCACTAATCAATTATGGAACAAGTTAACAGGTACCTTCTGATATGACACAATGGGAAGTATACAACATTGCCCACATAGCTTTCTTGCCAAAGATGTTTAGTCTGAATCCAAACATGAGGAAATAATTGGAGAAATTTATATTGCAGGACTTTCTAAAAGATACCTGGCCTAGATTTTTAAAAACGTCAATAAATGACAACAATAACAACAACAACAAAAAAAAGGTAGGGGGACTGTTCTAGATTAAACAGGCTAAAAAAATAAAGAGGCTAAGGAGACATGACAACGAAATGCAATTCATCATATATGATTGAATCCTACATTAAGGGAAAAACCAGCACAAAGCACATTTCTGGGGGCAACTGGGGGAGATTTAAATATGGTTTCAATATTAGGTATTATATTTATGATAAATCTTGAGGACATGATAATGATACAATGTTTATACAGGGGAATATTCTTGTTTTTTAGGAGATACATGCCTAAATATTTAAAGCAAAAGTATAGGAAAGTCTGCTACTTATTTTCAAATGGTTTAGTAAAAAGGAGACAGAGACACAGAGAGACCAAATATGGCAAAATGTTAACAATTGGAGTGAAGGATATACAAGTATTCATTCAGTATTTCTTATTCTTTCAGGATTCCATGGGGCTGAAAATTTTCAAAGTAAAAAACTGGAGGAAAAACCAGGCACCAACTGTGCCTTACACCCACTGGTCAGTGGAAGAGCTAAAAAGAAGGCATATTCCCTCATTCCCAAAACCCTGAGAGATCAATTTCCAGCCCAGCAACTGTGAGTCAAATATTTTGGTAACAATTTTCCTAATGTAAAGGAGCACTTTATTCAGGGAAAAGGTAAGAATAACTGCTTAAATGAAGGGGATATATAGGCTTTTATTCACATGATTGGGTCATCCACCTTGGCCATTTAGAACATTAATGGTTGAGGCTAAAGTTCACAAAACATATTTTTAATTTACTACTAAAAGTTTTGTACTCCATATAATCTTCATCAGCATGTCTTACTCCTGTAGAGAGTCATAGAATATTAGTTGCTAGAAGGCAGAAATATAATCCTTAATAAGGTGTTTGGTAATTCTGTTAGAGGTGAAAATATAATAAACATTTCTTTATCTTCTCAGCCAAGCCCAGCCCTAATCATTATGATACTCACCTCCAGGCAAAGCAGCCAAAACTTTTTCTGTGTTCCTTTCAGTGTATCATTAGGTGAAAAGTGGGTAGGCTAAAAATCAGTATGACCATTTACTTACCTTGGTTCCAGTTTTAGACATATTTAGTGCATAGGTTGGTTCCCCCAGTGCTGAAAGAAATTCAGGAATAGCTACAGAGAGTTAGAGGCACAGTGACATTTATACTGGGCTGGTTTCAAATCAAACAGTTGCTTAGTCATGAGAATAGAATCCAAAAATTGAGTCAGTCATTTAGAGGCTATTGATGGTTTCTAGAAAAAACCAATTGGGATTATGAAATAAAAGAAAGCTTCAGTATCCCCTTTAATGCTTACCAAGCCCTGCTGCATTATAGATTTTGCTGAGTCAAGACACCAAAACCCAGCCAAAGTTTTAAAAATTAAAAACAAAAAGTCCTTCTTCCCTGGGTAATTTGGTTTTTTTTTTTTTTTTAGCAAGCAGCCTCTTTGAAATTCCTAATGTCTTTTTTCCTTCAACAAAGCTTACAGGAAATAAAAGTCCAAAGATCATCCTCTATTTCTGGACAGAAGTGACATGTTCCAAAGGCAAAAGAACTTAAATGACAACTAAAGGCAATGCATGATCTTGTGTTTGGGGGGGAAGGTCACTACAAAGGCCATTGTTGGGACAGTTAGAAAAAAATCTTAATGTGGACTATACATACTATTTGCCAAAGTTTAGCTTCTTGAATTTGATCATTCACTATTACTAGGTAAGAGAATGTCTTTGTTTTTAGGAGATGCATGGTAACAGACTTAGGAGTGAAGGTACAAGATGTCTGCAACCTACATTTAAATTGAGCAAAAATAAAATAATACTATTATATAAAGAGTGGTAAAATCAGTATGGCAAAATGTTAACAATTGGTGAATGTAGACAAAAGGGTATGTAGGAGTCCACTGATCAATTCTTGCAACTGTTCCTTAAGTTTGAAATTCTTTCAAACACAAATTTAAAACCAAAGAGTTCTTTTTTTAAAAAAACAAAATAGAAGTTTATTTCTCTCTCATACAACATGGCTGCTCTGTAGTGTTATAAACCCAAGTTTGTAGAAAGAAAGAGTTTTAATCACCAGAAGGGTGCCATAGTATGTAGAGAGACAGAAAACTACCACGAGACTCCTGAATTTGCAAAGGTTTAGCTAAGTCCAACTTGCCACCCACTAGGTGGTGTTTCTCTGCCCATGATATTATATTGGGACATGTTCAGAGAGTATTTTTTGGCTATTAATATACCTCTGACTTTAGGGAAGAGATTACATCTTATGTAAACTCAAAGAAACAACAAATCAACTCTTCTCCATTTTAATTTTCCTGGTCAAGTGTATTCTTCTCAAAAGTCTGACTTCCTCATTTTTCTAATAACCAAGATTTCAGCAAATATTTTTATAAATGGGATACCTCCCAGATGTCAATCAGAAGATGGTCAATTCAGAAGATGGCAATTGTGCCTTGATAAGAAGATTAATGAGAAACAGAGTATTAAACTATATGCTTAGTTTTCTGAATTTTATAAAATTTAAATAAGTTATCTGATTAATACCATTAATTTCATTAACAAAGAGTATTTTCCAAAATATACTTCTATTATCTCAGTGTTTCTTTATTTGGTAATGCTCTACTTGCTTGAATTTCATCTTAAAAGAAAAACTATGAAAACTTCAATTAGAGTTAATATTCTGAAGATGAATTTCTACTTTAGAAATATGAAAGCAAGCCCTTTTTGATATAATTATGAATTAAATGGCCAATAAGCATATGAAACAATGTTTATCAGTGATCTGATTCATTCACTAATTTGATCATTGTTTTCCTTTACCTTCAAGAATAGGGTTTTCCCAATCAAATGTAAATTTTACTTTGATATGTCACAAAATGACACTGGAAACATTTTCTAACGTGAAAAGTAAAACTTTATCTGTGTTCAAAAGGAATACATTACTCTTTAGTTTATTGAAAACTTGAAACAGAAAATGAAAAATAAAGATTTTTACACAATTTCATTAAGTTTCATATTTTAAGGACTAAAATATCTTCATATAAAACTTTCTACTATATTTATACATCAACAAATCATACTTTCATTCCAACTATTTTTAAAAGGATTAGCAATTTCCTTTTAAATAATTACAAAGAACTATAAAACTCTTATTTAACTCCAGAAAGGATGAAATCCTTGCATACAAATTAAAATGTGCAGTAGACTTGCAAATCTACATTCAATCACTTTAATATTAACATATATACAATAGGACTGCTTTTATCAACATTTTTATTTTAGCATCATAAAGATGAGTCTTCTGATAGTCTATAAACAATGTTTATATAAAAGTCAGAAGTTTAGCTAAAACTCAACCTAAACAGTAATAAATGAATATGGAAGGAAAATCAAAAAGTCTTAACTAGGAAGAAAAAGCCCCAACATGTCTTAAGCAGCAAGAGTGCCTTCCCAATTTAGTTTCAAGATGAGCACCATCCTCCATTCATCCTCGTGCTTCTAGAGCCCTGAAGATAACAAAATAAAATTAATAACAATTTTTTGTGCCTTCATGCAAATAATAAGAAAAAGAACCATGCATTTACAAAATCACATAAATTAGCAAGATCTGATAATCGTTTAAGTTAGTTATATTCCTTTTCTCTAAATGTCACATAAGTTCATAATAGAAGAAATTCATACATAGACATAAAATATTGGCAGCCTTAACCCTTTGCACTCGCTTGCTTTTTTCTCATTATCCACTCGACATTATCCACACTCGATATCCGAGTGCAAAGGATTAAAGTAAAATTTTTACCATTTCCTTTGTATAATCCCCATGAGATTTCTAATTCTTAATCTCAGCATATATTAACATTGTAAAATTTTTTTAAAAAAATACATACTTTAAAAATGTAAACAATATGTAAAATAAACAAGAACACATTTTTACAACTTTGTAAAACTGCATTTCCTTAAAAAGTGAGACATATGTCCTTGCAATTCCCCTCCTTGATATGTACTTATGAGAAATAAAAACATGTCTACACAAAAAACTTGTACACAAATGTACACAGCAGCATTGCTCAAAATAGCTGAAAAGTGGAAACGACCCAAATGTCCATCAGCTGATGAACAGATAAACAAATTGGCAGATCCACACAACAGAATATTATCTGGCCATGAAAAAGAATGGAGTACTGATATATGCTATAACATAGATGAAACATGAAAACATGCAAAATGAAAAAAGCCATACACAGAAGGCTGCATGTTGTACAATTCCATTTATATGAAATGTCCAGAATAGACATAGTAGATTAGTGGTTGCCAGGAGCTGAGGGGAAGAGGAGATATAGAAGGCTAGAAGAATGGGGAGTGACTGCAACTGGATTTTATCTTGGGGGTGATGAGAATGTTCTGGATTTATTAATGGTTATGGTTGCCCAAACTTTGCATATATTTAAAAGCCACTAAATTCTTTACTTTAAAAAGGTGAATTTTAATTCACGTTATGTGATTATATCTTAAAGAATAAGTTTTCTCCCATCCTAGATAGATATTCAATCTCATTCCTCAAAGACAAACACTGTTTATAATTTCTTTATATCTTTTCAAAAATTTTAGGCATATAATTAGTATATACATATGTGTGATAATCCCTCTCTATTTTCAAACACACAAAGCAACATTTTACTTTTTCCCCTGAGCTTAGAGATCACTCAGTATCAGCACATATAGATAAATTTCATTATTTTTAAAGATGCACTCCATGGTATGGATGAATCAGTTCATTAGGCACCAGTCCTATACTGAGAAGTATTTGGGTTGTTTCCAGTCTACACCTATTTCAAACAATGCTGCAACAAACATCTTTTTATAATAGATCTTTACAAGTTACAAAATTTCAATTACATAGGAGGAATAAGTTTAAGAGATTTAATGTGCAACAATGATGACTATAGTTAATAATAATATAGTATATTCTTGAAAAATGCTGAGAGTAGATGTTAAGTGTTATCACAACAAAAATGAGAACTATGTGCGGTAATGCATATGTTAATTAACTTGATTTAGCCATTCCACAATGTGTATATATTTTAAAACATCAGCTGGGCTTGGTGGTATGGGCCTATAGTCCCAGCTACTCAGGAGGCTGAGGTGAGATGATCACTTGAGCCCAGGAGTTCAAGACCAGCCTGGGCAACATAGCATGACCTCATTTCTTAAAAAATACAACATCATATTATGCATAAAAAATATAAACAATTTTACCTGTCAATTAAAAAAAAAGAAAAAATTAAATAGATCTCTACATACAAAAATATATCTGTAAGATAAATTCTAATAAGTGAAATTGCTCCTAAGTCAAAGAATATTTGTATTTTTAATTTTGATTTTGTCAAAATACTTCCCCATAGAGGTTACATACATTTATACTTTTCCCAGTGGTAATTGAAATGTCTTGCTAGCACTGTGTACAACCAGTTTTTGATCCTTGCCAATCTGATAAATAAAAAGTAGTATATAACATTTAAGTGATCATCTTTGTGTCTATAAATATTTTTCTGTGATCTATTCATGACCTTGGTCCATTTTTCTATTGTTAGTGCTTTAAAATACCAAAGTAAACTAATTTCTATTAAAAAAAGAATACCATATATTTGGATTAAATAACTTCCAGTAAATTGGTTTGTATCCTAATTCTCTTCTATTGAATTTATGATCTTCTAGTGTTCAGTAATCAAATTTTTATTTGGATTAATTCTGATTATTACTGCTCAGATGTGTCATTAACAAAGATCAGCTAATTTATGAATTGGTTTGGAGGGATGAGAAAGAGGGAAGATGTGTTAGAAAGAGAATTAACTTAAAGCTATGTGTGGGGAAGAGTTATATTATCTTTGGACAGTACAACTTGTACCAGGCAAAAAGCAAAAAAGTTAAAACTTGGCTATTATATTTACCCGCATTTCTATAGGCTCCATTTTGGTTGGTCTTTTCACTATAAAATATGGTTATAAAAATATGAGTATGTAAAGGTCTGTGTATACTAGTGGGAGTGGTAGAAAACATTTGGCAATGTTTAATAATACAATATTCTGTGCATTTTGTTTTACACTCAGAAGGTTTCCCCAAAAGAATGTTTTAAGTGGTGTACATTATAAACGCCTACCAGTATTTTGATGTAGGATCCCTATCCGGCTGCTTGTTTGGAGCCTGCCGCAGGAGGGACAAGGCTGTCCAGCTGCTGGCGATGTCCTGTATTAATCAACCATTCATAAAACTTGTCCTCCACAAGTACCTGGAACTGCTTCCTTTGATCCCTAAAATCACAAATGAAAGCAGAAAGAACATAAGAACACTAATTCATCTATATTTAATTCCAAGTGATTATATAACACTTTAATGGGATAATATTAAATGATTCATGGTTTCTAGTTATCCTTTTGTTCTCTCTGTTTAGAGTACACTAGACCACCCTCCACCACCAAAAAAGGATTGTTCAGATACAACGCTCTCCTTGTAAAGACTTATTCATTGTTAGATATTTACTGAGGACCAAGTGAATGCTGGGTAGTGTTCTGGTTGATGGGGATAAATGTGTAATGAAAAGGGAAGAGACAAAGCTCCTGTTCAGGCTGGATGGTGCGACTTGACACTACAGGGACACTCACATTGTGATCTATGTAAGTCTATGCCCCTGTGGACACTATATTCTAGTAGGAAAGACAGGTAACAAATAAAATAAATATATGATATAAAGTTAAATAGTTGTAAGTGTCTTGGAGAAAAATAGAGCAGGGTAAAGGAATGGAGAATTTTGGAAATGCTATTTTAGAAAAAGAATGGACAGAGATGACCTTTCTAAAATGACATTTGTGCAGAGGTCTGAAGTGATGGAGTAAGCAAAATAAGTATCTGGAGGAACATACCAAGCAGAAGAAACAGAAGGGACAAAGATTCTAAAGCTAGAGCATATTTAACATGTTTATGGTAAGATAGAAAAGAGTAGCTCCTGACAGGCAGGAGCTACCTTAGCACTATCCTAGGCCTTGGTGTAGCTGGATCTGGCCTGGCTGTGATGGTCTTCTGTTGAACGTAAGCAATTCCACAGAATACCAACATAAGACAAAGCTGCTCCAGGATGATGACAGTCCATAGCAAGAACAAGACCACTCCATAATCATATCTCATTCCAGATACCCTCTGCCCCCCTGCCAAAAAAAAAAAAAAATCTATGGTCTAAACCACAAAAATGACCAAACATCACCCTTTCCTGGTTGAGGGACTGCTGCTTCCTTATAATTACAGTTGTAGCTCTACTTCCTTCCTCTTGCCTTAGATATAAAAATTATTAAGCTATCAAATCATAGAATTATTCTCAGTCCCACATAGCCCTGTTTCCTAGAACCCTCCCCCAAATTCCCCAACACAAGACAAAATCCCCAAACTTTCAGTGAGATAAAACACAGTTCTCTTGCTCCTTGCAATGAGTCAATACAATCCACATTTGTTCTACATATGTTCCCAGCAGTCATTGGCTAGATGGCAATGACTAAGTAATAGCAAAAAGACTGTTGTACTCTGGAAGGGAGTAAATGAGGAAGAGAAATGGCAGCAAATGAGAAAAAGAGAGCCTGATACGTATGGTAAAGACTTTAGATTTTATTCTAAATATGATTAAAAGCCATTAGAGGGGTCAGAGCAGGAAAATGACAAAATCTAATCAATTTTAAATGGATCTTATTGGCAGTCTGTTTTCAAACTGATTTCTGTCTGCCTATATTCCCAAAGTCAAATTGACTACTTTTGTTGTTTCTGGTGTCACCATGGATCTTACCACTTGAAAACACTGATTCAGAGTTAATATTTATAATATTTATACCACATCCTATACTCTGCATATAAGTTTTTCACATGTGTAAGAGAATCTAGGCACCTAAATATCAGAAGCTTATTCAACAGAATTTCTTTAAAAGGATATTTTTTCATTGGTCGTCCATTTTTAGATCACATTATTATAATGTTATTATTGTACTGTATGATATGACATGATATGGTGTGACAATAGTTGAAAGAAAATGATAAAGACATGTTAGTACCTAAAAGGTACTTAGAATAGTTTTAAATTATGTGGCATAGTCTATATATGATTTCTTTGATTCACATAACTCTTACATCTGCCAACTAAACTCAAGCTTCTTAAAAGAAGGGAGTCCAATATTTGAGTATCCACTCACTCCCATCCCCCAACCCAACAAGTGCCTAGAATACTGACCTGAAATCCAAGCATTAACAAAAGATAAAATATATCTTTCATTACTTCAGCACAGCTGTAAAAATGTACAGATTAATTTGTTTTTCCATGGAGTTTCATATAAAATACAAACTATTACTTCTAAAAAATACTCACTTTGTCAAACGAGCCTCCTTCACAGTTTTCTGCCAGATTTGTATCTTCTGTTCTCTCTGACCAAGTGCTTTCTGATACACAAATGGCAGACCCCCAGGTATCTCTGTTGTGTCCCCTTCCATTTCAAAGGGAATAATAAATACATAGAATTCACAAGGTGGTAAGAGCCGGAAGACATTAGCATCACTGTTCTCTCTGCACATAATCATTGGATTATCCCAATAGTTAGGCACGGTAGCAAGGCCCGTCCTGGCCATATGGTCCTCTAGCATTGGGTAATGGGTATGAAAAGGGGCAAAAGTTACTGTCTGGTTCCCAGACAGAATAAGTGGGCGCGTAGGCGTCAGAATGTGAAAGATGCATCCTATGGTAGAAGAGATGGACAAACGGTGGCAAACAGCAATGACTTTAACATTGTCACAATTGTGTAGGTGAAGAGTAGTCTCTACAGGGCCCAAGACAAAGGTGCTATTCCTGCATTTCTCAATTGTCACAGATCTGAAAAAAGAAAAAAATGAGATAAATTCCTCTGAATAAGATAAAAACTATTTGATTGAAATATTATTCTCTGATAGCAAAAAAAGGGTCATAGTCTAAAGAAAATATCAAAATGCCGGAACGCTATGAAGACTGTGCTTACCGTAAGGGGGAGAGCAGATATATAAAAGACTCGTTGCACCGATGAATCTTTACATGTGCCCCCACCAGTGTATCTGAGCTTTTGGCCAACGTCTGCTTGTAAACCTGGCTCATCACCACCATGCCATGCATCCTAGGGGCCACATGAGTATTACAAGCAATCTTAGCTCTTTTTGTTGTCCCTTCAACTATTTAAGAAAACATAAATAAATGAGATAGTTTCAAATCAAGAAAACAAACAACTGTATGAGGTTACACATGTTTATGTGTATACATGTCTAAAATTAGATACTATGTGTGAGGGAAAAATGTTAGATCTGGGGATTGGGAAAAGAGGTGTTTGCTATACCATTCTCTGTTCTTTTCTATATTTGTACTATTTCATAATTTTTATGAAAAAAATTTAAAACCTATAAGCCATTTAAGATTGCTTATATATCAAAGTTTTTTTCACATCTACTCTTCAAGTTAAGTAATGTGCCTAAGGTCATATGGCTAGTAAGTGGCAGAGCTGGCCTAACTCAAGTATCTTCTCATCCATGATGCTTTACTTTATCATCCCAACTATAATTCATCTCTTTAAATTGCCATAATATAATTATGTACTCCTTCTAATTAACTTACTATGTTATTCCATGAATCCTATTTGAGTTCATGTCTTTACACCCAAGATCATTACTACCTAAAAGCACATCTTCCTATCAAATACAGTGTCTTACACAAACTAACACTCAAAAAATATGTGTAAGTTGGTGTCCTAACCATTATATGACTGGCTTCTCAAACTGTAATTCCCTGCAAGCCACTGGGACACCCTTTTAAACAATACTGGCCAAATGTAGAACAGTCACATTAAGTATGCTATTATTCTTTTAAAATAATTCTTATTGTTTATTTTTATTATATAAGTTTATTTTTATTACATATGTACCATGTATATTATACATGGTTATTGCAGAAAAAAAAGATAAAAATCATTTGTAATCCTGTTAACATTAGTGATCCTTACAAGGTTAGACATTCTTTCTTTTGTCCTACTAATGCCTATCTTAACATTCAAAAACTCTCTTGAACCTATATTATTTTATGAACATCAAGAATTATGTAGTATTCTCTTATATATTTATGGGAACCTTACATATCTGAGAGTCTTACACCTCATATTAGAGTTTAGTTGGATACAGAATTTTTGGATTACAATCTTTTTGCTCAAGATGTTGTTCAATCATCTTCTGTTTTTTATCATTATAAAAATTTGATACAAAACCTTTTTTTTCACATTTGTATGAAACCTAGTATTTTCTCTATCTCTGAAACTCAGAGATTGTAGAAGTATATTCTAGTGCATTTTTTTCCCATTCATTTTGCCTAGTACTTGCCTCAGTAGTATAGACACCTACTGGTGTTTCCTAAAACTTGTACCTGGGGCCAGGCACCTGAACCTATCCATTTAGCCACTGCTGAATCCTCAGGGATACCTGATGTAACCCATTGTTCTCTATACTGAAAATTTAAATTTCCAATTTAGAAACATCTACTCTGCTTATGCCTACGCAGCTAAAGAGACCATATCTCTATATGAACTCTCTGAGGTTGTTAGTGTGAGATGGCCAAATTCTGCTGTGTTGTATAGAAGATAGGAAAGCCTCAAGCAAGTGAGCGTGACAGTGTGAGGCAGAGGCAGAGAAGAGAAAAGCAGAGCAAAGAGAGGACTAACTACAGCTGGAGTTTCTGTTAACTGCGACCAAAAGGACCTTGACTAATAAATTAACTGAGATTGTTGCTGCCTTGAGAAAAAAAGTCATATATATAAGACAGATGTTCCCTTTTTTTCTTTAATAGTAGCACTATTTTTTTAGGTCCTCTACAGAAGATGTGTGATCATTAATATACTAGAAAACATTAGGTTCCTTAACTTGACATTCAATTTAATATAGATCAAAATATTAAAAAATACCTTGGTGAGCCCAAGCCAATTTCTTTCCAGACTTGAGGCAAGCGGATGTACCAAATGGATTCCCAGTCAAACAGGATCTCAACCAGGCTTCCAGCTTGTAGAAAGAGAAAGTCTTAGAGATCTTTGAGAAGCCACTTTCTGCATGCAGTGGTTGCCACAGTGCAAGTTCATGAAGTGGATAGATCTTCCGGGCTCTACTTACTGTACCTTCAATAAGAAAGCTAAGTGCCACAACAGCTTCTTGAGACACCAGACTACTATGGGTTGAATGAAATGATGCAGTGAGTTGTTCTGGATCTAAAAGCAGCTCAAGAAGATCTGATAGATGATCCCAGACAAAGGCTTGGTGACTGTAATCATTCCAGTTCTAAAAAAAATCAAAAGAAAGCACTCTTAACAGAACAAAGAGATTGTCCACAAGATCTAAAACTTCTATATTTTAATTATTTTGTATTTACTCTCTGCCTTATCCTCAAAAAGGATTTAGGTAGCTTATAAATCTTACATAGTTTAGCCAGGCATGGTGGCTCATGCCTGTAATCCCAGCACTTTGGGAGGCTGAGGCAGGAGGGTTACTTGAGGCCAGTAGATCAAGACCAGCCTGGGCAACATAGCAAGACCCTGTCTCTACAAAAAATTAAAAAATTATCTGGGCATGGTGTGCAAATCTGTAGTCCCAGCTACTTGGAAGGCTGTGACAGGAGAATCACTTAAGTCTAAGAGGTTGAGGCTGCAATGAACTATTATATAATCATGCTACTGCACTTCAGACTAGGCAACAGAGCAAAACTCTGTCTCAAAAAACCAAAAAATAAACATAAAGTCTTTTTGTGTATGTGATAGGTATAAATAGATTCTCTTTCCATCTTAAGTAATTCAAAGTAATACTAATAAATAAACTTAGTGTGTGTCAAGCATTAAGTGCTATGCATACTTTACCATATTTAATCCTAACAGTAATTCTAGAATAGATACCATTATCATACCCATTTTACAGATAAGGAAATGGATTTACAGAAAAGTAAAGAAACTTGATCAAGATCACAGAGCTGGCCAGGCATGGTGGCTCACGCCTGTAATCCCAGCACTCTGGGAGGCCAAGGCGGTGGATTGGTCGAGGTCAGGAGTTTGAAACCAGCCTGAGCAAGAGCGAGACCCCATCTCTACTATAAATAGAAAGAAATTAATTGGCCAACTAATACATATATAGAAAAAATTAGCCAGGCATGGTGGCGCATGCCTGTAGTCCCAGCTACTCGGGAGGCTGAGGCAGTAAGATTGCTTGAGCCCAGGAGTTTGAGGTTGCTGTGAGCTAGGCTGACGCCACGGCACTCACTCTAGCCTGGGCAACAAAGTGAGACCCTGTCTCGAAAAAAAAAAAAAAGATCACAGAGCTGGTACATACTCTAAAAGTTTCAGATCAAACATAAAAGTAACAATCATGGACATTCATTCAATGAAGCACTAGGTTTCTTAATTTACCTTCTCCAATTATAGAAGGAATTTCCAATTCTACTGGGTGAAATGAGGCAATTGATCCTACACTGACTGGATTTAAGAGAAATTATAACTTTGGGAATAAGCTTTAAGTTGGCAGATGTTCTAGTGATTTGACCCATTCATTTGATAGATATTTTCTGAGCCTCTTATTAACATGAAAAATGTTAAGTGATGAACATGCAAATTGATTAAGACATAGTTCCAGTCCTCAAAGAACTCAGAGTCTATTCTAGTGAGAAGACAGTATAAATAAATAACTACAACACAGTGAGATATGACCTACAGCAGAGATCAATAAAGATGTCCTATGAGCATGAGAGGAACAACTAACTCCACCTGGCAGAAAAATCATAATGGATTGCTGTTTGAATAGATTCTTGATTCATGCTGGTAGTTAAGCAAACAGATAAGAAAAAAGGCATTGTAGGAATAGGGAACGGCATATGGAAAGGCCCAAAGGAGTGGAAATACCTGCTATGTTCAGAGAACTGAAAATTCTGGGTGGGATATGGGAAGCATGCTGGGAAGTGGCAGCTGAAGTTAAAACGGTAGGCAGAGACCAATCATGAAAAGCCTTGTACAAAAAACTAAAACATTTGGATTTTATTTTGTTTTTGTTATTTATTTATTTATTTGTTTTTTTTGAGACAGAGTCTCACTCTTATTGCCCCGGTTAGAGTGCAGTGGAGTCAGCCTGGCTCACAGCAACCTCAAACTCTTAGGCTCAAGCAATCTTTCTGCTTCAGCCTCCCAAGTAGCTGGGACTACAGGCATGTGCCACTAAGCCCGGGTAATTTTTTCTAGGTATTTTTAGTTGGCCAATTAATTTGTTTCTATTTTTAGTAGAGACAGGGTCTCACTTTTGCTCAGGCTGGTTTTGAACTCTTGACCTTGAGTGATCCTCCTTCCTCAGCCTCCGAGAGTGCTGGGATTACAGGCATAAGCCACTGCACCCAGCCAGCTGGATTTTATTTTGTATGCCAGGGACTTCCAAACTATTTTCTAAATAGCTATATCTTTTATTTTTCTTTTTAATAAGTTCTCCTCTGGATGCCAAAGAAAACAGATCAAAGCAGAGTTGTCCTCAGCCTCAACCTGCTCTTCCTCTCACTGCATTCCCCCTCCTCAAAGTAGGCCATATGGTGGCTCCACAGAATTCAACATGAAACCAAAATTGACAAAGGAGGATTCATTGGCACAGTTTAGACAGGAGATAAATATACTCCATCTGTATTTGGGAAAGCCCAGTGTGGTAGGTAGACTGTAGACTAAAGCAGGGTGACCAGCTAGAACCTAATTACAAAAATCAATGCAAAAAAAAAAAAAAGTCATTAGATAAAAAAAAGCTTAGATAAGAGGAAGAAAAGGGACAAATTTAAAGTGTCATATTGAGGCAGAATCAGTAAGACTTTACAACAAACTGGGTTTGGGTGGTGAGAAAGGAGCAGCATGGGTGGGCTGGTGGGAATTTTAACTGGCATAGGGAGTATAAGTTAACTCAAGGAAAGGGAGATTTTACTGTAGGGACACTCATTCGTCTCCCAAATGGAGTTAGAACTGGAAATGGGAAGCATCAGAATCTGACTGTCTTTCAAGGGCCAGTGTCCCTCTGCATGTCTCTTCCATTCTCTTCTTTTTCTCTCATGACAAACATCCTGTGCTTCAGTGCTTCTCTGATTATCTCAGAGTTTCTAGTCCCTCATAACTCCAGGTCATCTCTAAGCACTGTGGCTATTTGGTCCCAATGCCACCTGGTTTTCTGGTTCAAGTACTCATCACCAAATCACAATTTCTCTCTGGGGGGACTGACTGGCCCAGGTCATCATTTCAAATCAAAGCAATTTCAAATACATAGTAACAAGTGTCCATTCCTGGTCCTATCAGTTGTTTGGAAAGGTCATGCTATAGCACAAAACCAGAGTCACCATTTGCTGGTGATACAACAAGTATGCTTAGGATACAACAAGTCCCATATTACTGAATTCTCACAGCCATTGGGAAATAGGCACTATTATCCCTATCTAGAGAGGAGAAGCCAAGGCCTAGAGAAGTTATCTGACTTTCCTGAAATCACGTGACTATTAAGTGACAGAGCCAGATAAGACTGCAGACTACCTTGGCTCAAAACATCATCTCCTATTAGTGCCCATTCAGCAGGAACTACATGTGGAGAGAGCAGGCGATGATTGTCATCACTGATACATCCAGACTTGAACATTCTGAATTTCAGGTATAGCTAGGGCAACTATGTGAAGGGATAAATATGAGGCAAGAATTCTGGGATGAAGACAAAGTTAGGAGTCATTGAGATATATGCGGTCATGGGAATAGAAAGAATTATCTTGAATGAATATGTTGAGTGAGGAAATTGCCACAGGAAGAATAGCTGCATGTAAGGACCAGGGGGAGAGAAATTTATGGAAAAGAAGGAAAAATCAGAAGTAGAACCAAGGAGGTATAGCATCATGGAATATAAGGCAGGACAGATTTATTAAAAAGAGATTATAAAAGTGCCAAATAACACAGAGGGTTTTGTTTTTTGGTGTTTTTTTTTTTTTTTTTAGCTTCAGAACATTTTTAAAGAGCCTCTACATGGCATTAATACTGAGGTCTACATTTTAAAGTTTTTCAGACTACCTCCACAAAAACAGGTAAAAACATTTGCTTTTCTTTTTTAAAAAAACAGAAAGAAAAAGCAATAAGACATTTTCTAAAACTCACAATGTGAGGCAGTTAAATTTAACTTTTAGGTTGTCGCATCATATATAAGTACTTAAGCATGATTAAGCAATATGAGAAGATATTTTTATAGAACATTTTTTGGATTTCAGCAGACTCTGCAAACACATCTTTTGGTTTATCCTATTTTAGTCAAATGAGTAGACTCAAATTCATTAACATTTGCAAAAATGGGAATGCTAATAGAATATAGTGAATAATCTGCCCAAAAATCATGCTAGTGTTTTTATATCAGTGAAAGTGGTGTATCAAAATCACTTCTCTATACACACTTCTCTGAATACATTGATTTTGTTTTATAATTTAAGAGAAAGTAAAAAAGTAAAAAACAAAACAAGCCATCAAATCACTGACTTATATAAAAAAATCCCAACATAATTTTTAATGAAGGTAATACCATCTCCCTCACAAATTATCCATTTTATAGAAAGAGATAAGATACAAACAGTACCTTATTATGACAACTGGATTTTTCAGTCAGGTCAGGAGACAGAGATCTGTTTCTGGGACTGGGCCACTCTTCTCTAATCAAAGATGTCCTCAAGGAGACTTTATTTAACTGCTGTATGTATAAGAAGAGCAGAAACTGTAGGGTGTCCACTGAAACCTATCCAAGAAGAAAATAAATGATGAATACATGTATTTTAAAAAATGTTTTTCTCACCCCATGTCAGCAGAAAAGTAAACACATCTTAAAAAAGTATCACTAATCTACAACTAAGTAAACAGTAAATTCACAAGTTTTCTGATCCTAAGAAAACAATTTAGAAACACTGCTAGCATTTGATATGTATGTCTCTGATATGGAGATGTAGGAGTTTCTAAGACTAATTAAAGTGGAGTCATTTACCTTTGTAGAAAGCTGGATAGCATCTATGGCCATAGAAATTGTCTCCCAAAACTGATGAAGGGGAAAGAATGAAGTATACACTTTTTAAAAGCACATTATTTCAGAAATTTAAAGTTATGGTTTAAAAACCATCTTAGTAATATGAACAAATAAATGAATAGATGGAAGAAAGGAAGAAGTATATTTCATGAAGACACAGAGATTTAACCTAAGGCTCACAGACTTATCAAGAAAATTTAGGATATCAGTGCAACTTCCAAAATTGTATGTATCTTTTTGTGTATGCGCATTTTGTGGAGAAGTAGGCTTTAGGTTTTCACTAAATTTTTTTTTTTTTGAGATGGGATCTCACCATGTTGCCCAGGCTGGTCTCAAATTCCTGGGTTCAAGCAATCCTCTTGCCTCAGCCTCCTGAGTAGCTGGGATTACAGGCACATGCCTCCATACCCGGCTGGTTTTTGCCAAGTTCTTAAAGGGGTGTTTGACTTAAAGAGAAAAAATACTACTAGTCTGATAGATGTATAAAGTCATTTATTATTCAAGGAAGTGTTTGGTTTGAAGCTCACAATTTGAAACCCTTGATTATCCTCATATAACCATCCGAATGCATAAACAGGAGAGGCAAAAAAGTAAAGTAATACATCTGAGTGTACAGCTATATTCTCCCTGATTCCCAACCTGGCTAAAAATCAATACCATCTGAAGAACTTAAAAGTACAGATTCTCAGAATTACCCAGATTTATTCAATCTACGTCAATGTTGAGCCCCACGAATTTATATATTTTATAAATTTTTAATTTCTTAATTAAACTTTTGAAATAACTAGATTTACATGCAGTTGTGAAAACTGATACAGAGAGATCCCATGTACCCTTTACCCATCCTGCAAAACTGCAGTACAATATCACAATCAGGATACTGACACTGATACAGTCAAAATACAGAAATTTTCCATCAACATAAGAATCTCTCATCTTGTCCTTTTATAGCCACACCCTTTCCTTAACCCCTAGCAACCACTTATTTGTTTGCCATCACTATGATTTTGACATTTCAAGAATGCCATATAAATGGAATCATATAATATGTAACCTTTTGGGATTAGCTTTTTCACTCAGCATAAGTCCTTGATTTTATAAGGTTTTAACAATTATTTGTTATATTATCATTACTTCTTCCTATATTCTCCTTGTGAGACTATATATGATCCTTGCCTTTTCCATTTTTATATCCCTAGTAACTAGCATAGAATCTGGTACATAATAAGCCTTCAAAAAACTTGGAAATCCCTAAAGGTTTTATTCATCTCTGTATCCACAGCATCTACTACTATACACAGCACACAGTAGGTACTCAAATATTTGATTAATGAATGAATGTAATATCCTTCCCCTCTTGGTTGCTAGATAAAGTTCTTTTCAATTTCCAAAACCCTGTTTAGATATTACCCCATACAGCAGAGACTGACTAGATGTTAACTAAATATCTTTTCTCTTCTTCCTGGGCACAAAATTAGATGGTGTTTCCCACTCCCCACCCTTTGCAGTTAGGTATGGTATAACTAAGTTATGGTCAATGGAATGTGGATTAATTTATATTTACCACTTTCGAGCCTGACCCATAAAACTGTCCCAAAAGAAATGGAAGCAAAGGACTCTGAGGCCCTAACGGGCATGGCTGTGGCAAACTGCATCATTATTTTCAAGTGTTCACTTACCCATCCTCCAAGTGGCTTATATAGCCCTACACATGGCCATGGGATTTTCCGATTTTCCTTACCTCTTATATGGTAGTTTACCTTTCCACCTCATTGACTTTAGCCTTGGATATGTGACAAAGCATTAGCCAAAGGAATGAAAGTAGTCATAGTTTATGTCACATCTGAGCAAAAGTTTTAAGAGGCATCATGAGAGCCCCAAAATAAACCCACACATATACAGTCAACTAATTTTTCATAAGCGTGCCAAAAATACAAAATGAAGAATAGTTACATCAATAAATGGTGCCGAGAAAACTGGATATCCACATGTAAAAGAATGAAATTGGGCCCATAGCTTAAACCATACAAAATCAACTCAAAATGGATTAAAGACCTGAAATGGTGAAACTCCTAGAAGAAAAATAAGGAAAAGGGGCTCCTTGACATTGGTCTTGGTATTGATTTTTTGGACATGATATCAAAAGTGCAAGCAAGAAATGCAAAAATAAACAAGTGGGTTATCTTCTGCACAGCAAAGGAAACAATGAACAAAATGAAAAGACAACCTACAGGATGGGGGAAAATATTTGCAAACCATATATGTGTGTGTGTGTGTGTGTGTATGTGTGTGCGAACGTGTGCGTGTGTGTGTGTGTGTGTGTGTATGAGATAAGGGATTAATATCCAGAATATACATAATAAACTCCTATGGCTCAAAAGCAAGAAAAAATAAGTCAATTAAAAAATAGGCAAAAGACCTGAATAGGCATTTCTCCAAAGAAGACATACAAATGGCCAACAGGTATATGAAAAGGGGCTCACCATCACAAGTCATTAGGGAAATGCAAATCAAAACCACAATGAGATATCACTTCACACTTGTTAACAAAAGATTACTAAGTGTTGGCAAGGATGTGGCAAAAAAGGAACCCTGGTTCACTGTTGGTAAGAATGTAAAATTGGAACAGCCATTACGGAAAACAGTATGGTGGCTCCTCAAAAAAAAATGAAAAATGGAACTACCGTATGAACCAGCAATCCCATTTCTGGGTATTTATCCAAAGGAATTGAAATCAGAATTTTGAAGAGATAATTGCATTCCTGTGTTCACAGCAGCATTACTGACAATAGCCAGAGCATGGAAACAACCTAAATATCCATCAATAGATGAATGGATAAAGAAAATGTGGGGTGTGTGTATGTATATACACACATACACACACACATATTATACACATACTATATACATACACATATACAAAACTGAATATTATTCAACCTTAAAAAGAAGGAAATCTTGCCATTTTCAACATGAGTGGACCTGGAAGACATTATGCTAAGTGAAATAAGCCAGACATAGAAAGACAAATACTGCATAATGGCACTTACATGTGGAATCTAAAATAGTCAAATTCATAGAAACAGGGAGAATGGTGTTTACCAAGGGCTGGGAGGAGGGGGAAACGGAGAGGCGATGATCAAAGGATACAAAGTTTTAGTGATGCAAGAAAACTAAGTTCTGGAGCTACTATATAGCATAGTGCTTATAGCTAATAATACTATACTGTATACAGTAGATCTTATGTTAGTGTTCTTAACACATACACACACAAAAATAATAATAATAAAGGAGGTGAGGACAACTTTGGGAGATGATGGATATGTCTATGGGCTTGATGGTGGTGCTGGTGGCATATACCGTGTTTCCCCAAAAATAAGACCTACCCATAAAATAAGCCCTAGCAGGATTTCTAAGCATTTGTACAATATAAGCCCTACCCTGAAAATAAGACCTAGTGATGGGTGTGGCTACGCAGAGTATCTGCACAACTCATGCATTTCATGTCGGAGCAGTAAAGACAAGCAGCCCTTCTCATCTGCCCCATGAGAGCTCTATTACTCAACATGAGAGACTGGGCCAATAGTTCTAAAGGAAATAGAGTCGTAAGAAATTCAGGATGGAATTCAGGGTTTGGAGAGTTATGATGATGTTCCAGAAGAGATGACTAACTATAATTTGAATAAAGTGTAGAGTGTTGTACCATACTTTAAAAAAATAACACATCCCCTGAAAATAAGCCCTAGGGTGTCTTCTTGAGGAGAAATAAATATAAGACCCTGTCTTATTTTTGGGGAAACACAGTACTATCCTCAAACTCAAGTTGCATACATTAAACAAGAAAACAAACAGGCATCATGAGTTTCCTGCCTCCGTTACTCTTTCCTTCTGTTACAAGAATGGGATGGCCTACACAGCAGCTATTTCTTCAGCCTGGGGCTCCAAATGAGAAAACATATAGAGCCAAGCCAGAGCCTGGAAGAGAGCCACAGCTAAAGTGTAGCTTACAGGTAAAAGGAGTAAGAAATAAACCTCTGTTACCGTAAACCACTAGAATTTCATTTTGTTTGATTTTAATGGCAGCAAAGCTGATTAATATAATTGTGACTCCAAATGATAGAATAATGGATCCCGGGTCACTGGTTGAACAACAGCAGCTCAGAAATTCATCTAACCAAGTGTACCTGTGTTGGGCTGCTGTACAAGTGAAATAAACTCTTACTGTTCTAAGCCACTGAAATTCTGGGATTGTGTGTTACTCTGATTAATATACTTTCTCTGTGAAGTCTTTCCTGATCACCAGAATAAATCATTCTTTACTCAATTTCTGTACTTTGTGCCTTTTGTTACTGTACATATCACACTATTAAATAGCACTTTTTTACACACCAGCTTCCCCTACTAGTCTATAAGCTCCATAAGGGCAGAGATGCTGTCCTAATTATCTTTGGATCCCAGCACATAGCAGATGTTCATTTTAAAATAGGTGCTCTCGCAGTAACATATCAATGGTTCATAACACTCAATGCAAAATACTTTTAAAGGCAATGAAAATATTTTCCTCCTTCAATTACAGTGTTCCTGTGCTTTGGGAGTAGGTGAATAAATATTGGTAAGTAAGGACTAACTTATTGAATACATGAAATACTGCCATACTGGAACTGCTAAAGCTCAAGTGGTATTTTGAGATCACAAATGGTCATTAACCTAAAACCTCAAACTATACAGCTAGTATAAAAATTAAGAATGGGTTATTTCCCAAAGTAATTAAACATACATATCACAATCAATCCATACCTGATTTCTCTGCTTTTCAACTTCATCCTCAGACATGCAGTTGGACAGAACCTCAGACCATTCCAGCCGCTCCTCAGGTGTCCTCACGGAAAGACTATCAAATATTTCAAAGTAAAGCCATGCCAGATCCTTAGCCAACTGCAGCTTCCCACATGCAATGTGCCTCCATGTAGACCAGTAGAGGCGTGGGTAGGCTCCCTCTGTGGCCCGGGTTCGCACATAGCTGGATATCTTCCTGAGATAGTGAAGACTAAATTTGGATGGAGGGGGGACCTGCAAGGTACCCACTATAAAGGGTTCTGCTTTCACCCAGAGGAGAACTCCGGACTGATCCATATTATCTCCAAGGACATCTGGGTGAAAAGGCTTCTTTGCATACCTAGGAAACAAAGTTTCTTCATAAACTGATTTGAAACAAATCTCATGTACATTTCCTTGGAAGGTGACCCTTCCCTTAACTGTGTTAAATATACTACATCATCAGCTTTAAAAGCAGCTCTAGTTCATCAACCAAGAGCAGAATAAATTTTTGGTCAGATCTTATTACAGTCTATTTGAGAGAAAAAAAATTGTGATAAAATTATCCTAATTGAATTGTTAGAAATGGTTGTTTTACGAAGAGTGTGTAAATGCATGAAGTCTGAGTAGGATCCCTGCTTAGGGCAGGAATAAGGAATGGGAGGTTGGGAGGAAGTAATACTATCACAGAAACCTTGTCACTGAGAAGGAACACTGGTCAAAATAAGAATAATAAAATTTCAGAGTTAAATCACTTGCACATGGAAGACAGTTGGTTAAAGATCTGCATATGTTAGGCCGGGCATGGTGGCTCACGCAGGTGGGTTGTTTGAGCTCAGGAGTTCAAGACTAGCCTGAGCAAAGGTGAGACCCGGTCTCCACTAGAAATAGAAATTACTTGGACAGCTAAAAATATACAGGAGAAAAAAAAAAAATTAGCCAGGCATGGTGGTGCATGCCTGTAGTCCCAGCTACTTGGGAGGCTGAGGCAGAAGGATCACTTGAGCCCAGGAGCTAGGCTGACGCCACAGCACTCTAGCCCTGGCAACTAAGTGAGACTCTGTCTCAAAAAAAAAAAAAAAGATTTGCATGTGTTAGCTGACCATTTAAGTTCAATATGAGGTAGCAGACAAGAATGCTAATGTAAACATAGGCTGCAAATACAGATCAAGGGAAGTTAAAGCATATTTATTCTCTTTAACAGTGAACCCACTCTGACGTATTCTATCATGCTTGATTTAGGTGTAGTATTTTGGATTTTGTTTATTGTTTCTTTGTTATAACAATGATACATGATTTTTATGGAACATTTATAAAATATCTAAAAATAGAAGGGGGAATCATCTATGGTCTCCATCACTAAAGGGCAACTAGTTAATACTTTATCGTACTTCCTTCTCGTCTTTCTTCTACGTAGATTAGATGTTTGTTTGTTTTTGAATTTTCATAGCTGTGATAATATCACATATACAATTCTGTATTATTTAAAAAGCTTCAGAGCATTCTGGCAAAGAATGGTGGCTCACACCTGTAAACCTAGCACTTTGGGATTCCAATATAGAAAGATTGCTTGAGACCAGAAGTTGGAGATCAGCCTGAACAACAAAGTGAAATCCTGGTCTCTATAAAAAATAGAACAATAAGCTGAGTGTGGGTGGCAGTGCCAGTATTCCCAGCTACCAGGGAGGCTGAGGCAGAAGAATCATTTGGCCCTGGAGTTTGAGGTTATAGCGAGCTATGATTGCGCCACTGCACTCCAGCCTGGGTGATGGAGCAAGACCTGTCTCAAAATAAAAACAAAAACAAATAAAAGCTTCATAGCATTCCAAATAAACATACTCTAATTAATCAAATGTTCTCCCATTTTTAGACACTTAATAGGTTTAAGATTTTTCATGAAAACAAGACAGGCAAAATATCAATCATCATTGAAGCTGGATAATGGGCACGAGGGGCTGATTATTTTACTTTGTGTATGTCAAAATTTTTCATTATAAAAAATTCTAATATTGTCACTATTTTAAATAATGCTATGACTACCATCTTTCTTATTTTCTGCAAGATGAGTTATTTCCTAGAGAAAATTTTCTGATGTGTATTTGTGAATGAAGTAACTGACATTTCTGAAACTCCTGACTACATTCCCACTATTTTCCACATGATTTTATCAAAGTGTACCATCATTTGATCATGGTACTCACTTCTATTGAGCACTCCTCAGCATTAGTAGCATTTTAAAAATGCAAAAAATCATACAAAAAATTAATTATATGACAGATGAAAAATGTTATGTTCTGCATTGATTCTAAGAAAGTTGTGCTTCTCTTCAGAATGATCTGTTCCAAAAAATAACTGACATCAATCAAGTGCTTACCACATGCTAGATGGCACAATCAGTATCTTGCATATTTCACCTCTTTCATCCTCACAACCACCTGGAGATATAGTATATATGATTGTCCTCATTTTCCAATAAGAAAATTGAAGCTTAGAGAAGTTAAGGGACTTACCCAAAGATACACACTCTGTTGGCACAGCCCTAGATTAGGATTCAGGTCTGACTTGAGAACTGCATTGCTACAAATGTACTTTGGAACCCAGTTTTGGGAGAGTCTCTGAAAAATGGGAATGGATCCAGAAGAGAATTGCCAGCATAAAGGGCCTTAGACATGAAGCCATCTAAGAGCCAGGTGAAATAACATGGGAGCATGAACCCAAAAAGGAAGGGCGTGGGAGGGTAAATAAATGGCAGCTGTCTCTGAATATGGGACTAGCTTGGTGTCGTTCTGAGTAAAACCAGACGATGAAAATTAGGTGAGGAAGACCTTAGTTCTCTCCAAAATGTAACAGGCTTCTCTGTGAGGACTGAACTCCTGTCCTGATGTGTACAGACCCTGGGATGAACCCTCTATTCTAACTCCGAGATTGGACAGGGCTAAATTCGAAAACAAACATACACAGGGGCTCTTGCCCTGGAGGTGCGCGGGAGTTAGGGTCTTTCAGGTCGAGAGGTCGGCGCGGGCCCATGGCGGTCCTCCTGAGGCTGGCCCGCCTCTGGACGTGATCCGGGGAAGGACTCGGCGTGGGCCGCCCGAGCAACCGACCAAACTTCAGGAACACAGACACCCAAGCTGACAGGGTTCGCAGTCGACCTGAGACTGGGCGAAAGCGAAGGCGGTCTCCCCAGTCCGAGCCTGACGCTTGACCCGCCCGCACCGCCCTCCCTGGTGCCACCCGGACGCAGTTACCTGCGAAGGCAGGCGTCGCTCCGCTGCACCCCTCTGCGCGCCACCGCAGCCCGCGCCCTGCTCCGCTGGCCCGCCCCTCGCCCTCCGTCGCGCCCACAGCGCAAGCGCGAGGCTTCGCACCACCGAGAGCCGGCGGACCCCGTTGCTAGAGCGGCACATTGCCGCTTCTGCGGCTCAGAGAAACTTGGTTGAGCCCAAGAGATCTCGGCAGTGGGACTTGGAGCCAGACCACAGCTTTCTGGTGTTGCGCCTTCGAACCTAGGGGAGTAGAAAGTTTTCTATTGCTCCACATAACTGTGGTCAGCCAATAGCTGCTGTTAAGGTCAGCACGCTTTCGTCAGTAATAATAACGATGATGATGGCAGTTTACATTTATAGAGCGTTTACTATGACCTGAGCACTGTATAAACTTTATGTGGATTATTTCAATCTTCTCAAGAGCCCTTTAGATGCATTTATTTTACTGATGAGGAAAATATGGCGTAGAAAGGTGAAAGTAACACACACCTAAGGTCACACAAGAGACAGAGCCGGGTTCAAATCCAGACGGTTTAAAGCACGACAGCCACTCCCGGCACCGCCCTCTCTCCTCACTCTCACCCCACCTAGCTTTCGCTCCTTAGCTTATCTTTACCTCCTAGTTTCTGTCTTCATGAAGCTTTTTTGGATTCCACCCAGCAGAAGACCTCACACCTTCCTTTAAACCTCCATTTCATGATTTCTGGACGTTTCCTGCTTCTTAGTTCGCTTATGGCCTCTCTAGGTGTAGAAGATACAAAGGTAAATCAGAGCATAAAATGCAATTTAGTTTCTCTTACAGTGGCCTCTCTTCCCTACTAGGCATCTTCCTGAAAGCAGGGGCTTCAGATTTAAATAGACCTGGGTTAGGATCCAGTTTACATCACTTAATATTAATAGCTCAGTGATCTTGAACAAGTTTCTTTTTTCTGTCCCTCCTCCCCAGCAAATTTCATCACCTCTCTGTGTCTTAGTTTTCCACAACAGCAATTATTATTTGTCGAGCACCACTGTGTGTCTGGCACAGTGCTAGGCACTAAAGTTACAATGGTGAACAGACAAGGTCCTTGCTTTCTTGGGTGTATAATTTAATAGGGAGAATAGACAATACATGTTAATGAATAAAATGGAATAATTTCAGTTAGTAGTAAATGCTAATGAAGATTGGGGCTGGGCATCAGAGAAGGCCACTTTGTAATGCTGAATTTGAGGTGAGGCCTGAAGAATAAGAAGCCAGCCATCTGAAGATCACAGTCAAAGCAACTTGTACTCAGAAATATTTGAGCACCTACTCCATGCCAGGCACTGTTCTAAGGTACTGTTTTATACATTTTTGAACACAGTCTAGAGATCCATGCCTTCATGAAACTGGCATTTCAATGTGTGAGTGGGGAGCCAGGGATGGAAAAAATGAAATAGGGTAGGGTAAGAATAAGGGATTCAGTAAGGACTAATTTTGATTGGTTGGTCGGGAGGTCTTCTCTGTGGTGACAACATGTAAGCTGATACCTGAATTTAAAAAAAAAGGATTCACTCATGTTAGGATCTGAGGGAGGGAGGAGCTGTTCATGTAAATGGAACAGCTACAGTAGTACAAAGGCCCTAGGTAGGAATGAACTTGGTGTATTCAAGAAAGAGAAAGGAAGCCAGTTTTGCTGGAACATGGTGAGGAGTATAATAGGTGAGGGTACAAAGCAGATAAGGTTTTGTAAACTAGCATAGAGTTGAGATTTTATTCTAATTGTAATTGGAAAGCCATTCGAGGCCTTTAAATAGGGAATGACATGATTTTAAAAAATCATGGGGTGGGAAACATGAGTGAGGAACAGTTATTAAAATATTAAGTAAGAGTTTAGAGTGGTGTAAAGAGACCAATTAGGAGGTCTTTGCCAGGTGAGAGATGATGTGACTTGGCCCGGAGACCTAGTAATAGTGATGCGTAGTTTTCTGCAACAGCAATTATTATTTGTTGAGCACCATTTGTCTGGCAGAGTGCTCTAAGCTATTTATCTGGGGCTATATCTAAACTCAAGTAAGAATTGGATAGGTTATGCAGGAAAGGAATCAAGGAAGGCATCTGGAGTTTTGTCCTGAACAACTAGGTGATGTGTTTATTGTGATGAGCAAAACTGGGGGCAGAGGGGGAATCAAAGAGTTCTGCTCAAAACTGTAGTAAGTTTTTATTCATTGAGTGCTACCTATGTGCTAGACGCTGTGCTAGACGACTTACAGATATTTTTTCCTGTTAAAAAAGATCACAACACTGCCTCAGTTTTGTTAATAAACTTAGGCTCTGACTGGGGTGGGTGTAGGTATACGGCTAAGAAGTGGTAGAATCCTTTTTTTTCTTTAAAAAAAGAATTTTTGAACGTATCAGATATTAAACTGATAAGAACAGATACTGCACTTATGCACTTAATCTTAGCCAAAGCGATCAAATCCGAACTTAAATCGGTCTGTCTCCAAGGTCGCTTCTCTGTATGGTACAAGGCTTCTTTTCCATAAAACCAACAGTTTTCTTAGGGTTTTTTTGTTTGTTTGTTTGTTTTTTTGAGACAGTCTCACTCTGTTGCCTGGGCTAGAGCGCCGTGGCGTCAGCCTAGCTCACAGCAACCTCAAACTCCTGGGCTCAAGCGATCCTCCTGCCTCAGCTTCCCAAGTAGCTGGGACTACGGGCACGGGCAACTGTGCCCAGCTATTTTTTTTATTTTTAGTTGTTTGGCTAATTTCTTTCCATTTATGGTAGAGAGGGGTCTGGCTCTTGCTCAGGCTGGTGTCGAACTCCTGAGCTCCAGCAATCATCCCGCCTGCGCCTCCCAAAGTGCTAGGATTACAGACTTGAGCCAAGGCGCCTGGCTCATTAGCCTAAGTGTTCGGGGTGTAGTAGGCTGGGGTGTCACGACTCCGCCCATTCCGCCTTCGTATGTCCGCTACCTCCTCCAGCTGGGAGCTCAAACTGAATGAAATTCCACGACATGTAACCAAGATGAAACCTGCCTCCCGCAATTGGTCAGTGCTGGGGAGGAGCCTTGTGATTGGCGGAAAGTCCGGGGAGGCGGGCGAGGGGAGACCGGGTACCTCGGGTGCCCTCACGTGGCACCACCCCCTACCTTTCACGTAATTTTCTCCGACTCCCGGGAGCCGGGCCGAGCGGACTCCTGCGGCGGCGCGACCCTCTGACGTTTCCTCTTCTAGTTGGCCGGGAGCTGTGGATGCTGTTCCGAAGCCTGACTGGCTGCCTGCGCCGCCTCGGAGGTGAAGTGTACCGCGCCGATTGGCTCCCAGGCGCCGGCCGCGTGTGATGCCCCGGGCCGCGATTGGCCCTCGCCTGCCGGGGGCTTCTCTCGCCGGGACTCTGGACTCCCGGGAAGTGGACTAGTGGGGGAGAGGGTACGCTAGCTGTCTCTGCGGACCAAGTAGGAGACCCCTGGCGTGAGGCGGCCTCACTGGGCCGGGTGGGCTGGCGAGCTGACGCGGCGGCGGAGGCTGTGAGGAGTGTGTGGGACCGGGCCTGGGACAGAAGAGCCATGGCCCCGCAGAACCTGAGCACCTTTTGCCTGTTGCTGCTGTACCTCATCGGGGCCGTGATCGCCGGGTGAGGAACAGGCACCCCCAGGCGCGGGGCCCGTGGGTCAGCCTTTGCTGGGGAAGCGCGTGTGTGAGGCGGAGGGGGCTGGGGGGGGCTGTGGGGGGAGCGGCACTGCCAGACTGAGGGAGTGGAGAGGGGCATCGCTGTGGGGCGGAGGGCTGGGTGGTATGGGCCAGGCTAGTGGGGTGAGAGGGGAGCCGCGGGTGGCACCAGTGAGAAGGCCTTAGATCCAGAGGCCCTTAGAACTAGGTTTGCCCGGAGGAGTGGGAGTCGGATGCCTTGCTGAACACATCTGGGGCATGAGGGCAGTTTGAGGGAAAGGAGGTGATTGTGAGCAGAAGCAATGTCACGCAGAGCTGAGGAAAAGAGGGGTGCCTGACTGTCACGAAGGCAGTGACAGTGCCAGGCCAAGGTTGAGGGAATGGACATTTCTTTGGTCCAGGAGGTGGGTTGCTGTGCCCTACTGAGCTGGAGAAGCGGACAATGCTACGCCTAGCCTGGACGAACCACTGTGGGGGTGATATTAAAGTGGGTGGGTTATGCCAGGTCGAGTGGGGAGGGCAGAGAGGGAAGCCATGCAAGGACTGAAAGAAATTGGATTGAGAGAGCAAGGAGACCTTTGCAGAGCTCTTGTATTTCCCAGCTTCCTGAGCTATTTAGTGAGCCTAAGCTGTCATCACGCCTCTCTCTCTGTGGTACATTCTTAAGAAGCTAAATAGTCTGAGTGGGAAGAGCAATTCACCAACAGGTAGTAAACTGGGATTCTACCCAGGTGCCCCTACCTCACATATGAATTATGTAACCTTGAAGGAACGATTTAAATTCTCTAACATTGGGATAGTAATGTGCCACCCCTTATGCAGGGAATGGGAGCAGATGAACCCTTGAGGATTCTTTCTTAAGATCCAAGCCTTGTGACCTAGGATATGGTATGCCGGCCTCATATTTTAGAATGCAAGGAATAGTAGGTCTCAGCTTCTGACAGTTCATAGGTTGTTCTAAATAGGGAAAGTGCTACCTAGCAGAGCTTTAAATTTTAAGTACTGTTCTCTTAAAAGTTTTTTCTCTGTGCATATATGCTTTAACTTTGTCATCATTTTTTTGTGCAACATCTTAAATTTCTCAAAACATAACTCCTGGAAAATGCTTCATTGTTTTTCTTGATATACTGTTTTTGCTAGTATTTTTTACATTTATAGCAACACCCTTAGGTGTTTAAGAAAATATCAACATAAATATTATTAACACTGTACTTCAGTCATTTGTAAAGGAGTCTCTTAGGAACTGTAATGTTGATGCTGAGCTGTGCTAGCCATCTTTTCCCTGCATTTTTCTGTGCTGTTACTTAACCATTTTTATTTGAAGCATATTCTAAGCCTCACACTTTATACAGTTAGCCCTTTTGTTACTAACGTTAGCAGTCCTTTTGATTATTTTGTTCTTATCTCAAAAGATGTCAAAATGTAACAGATTTAGGGGGGGAGGAAAAAGCCCCTAATCAATTCTCATAGAGCCTCTTGTGAATGATCATTTTAAAAACAGATATATGAAATAATTAAATGACTTTTCCTAAAGTGTGAATAAGAGCTTATAATTTTTTAAAAATATTTTGTCACATATCACCTGGTCTTGGTAGCCGAATGCATTTTTTTTTTAAGGCAGAGTTTTGCTCCATCGCCCAGGCTAGACTGCAATGGCATCATAATAGTTTACCACAGCCTCAAACTCCGGCTCTAGCAATCCTCCTGCCTCAACCTCCCCAATAGCTGGGACTGTAGGTGCTGACCACCTCACCTAGCTAATTTTTTCTATTTTTAGTAGAGGGGTCTTGCTCTTGCTCTTGCTCAGGCTCCTCTTCTGAGCTCCAGTGATCCTTCCTCCTTGGCCTCCCAGAGTGCTAGGATTACAGGTGTGAACCACTGAGCCTGGCCTCCAGTGCATTTTTAAATTACCATCACTACTAAGTCACTGTCTCTATTGTAAATAGCTTCCCCATTCCCATTGTTGAGAGAATGCATTTTTAGAATAAATTCTGGTAGCTAAAATGACTCTGGCAAAAGAAATAGATTTTTGTGAGTGTTTTTATTTATTCATTTCATTCAGTGTATTTTTATTGGTCTCTTCAATGGGCTATGTAAAATCCCTGCCTTGAGAATTTATTATAGTCCTGTTCTATCTTCCCACTACCACTTTTTGCAAAGATTGCTTTACAATTCATTGGATTCCAGCATAGTCCCTGGCAAGAAAGTCAGTGGATCTCTACTCTAGTGCATGCCATGCATATTCACAGCTGCTGAGACATAGAGGCTTTTGCATATGGGCTTTAGCAGCTGTCTATAATAAAGGTTTGATCTAGACAAACTAGTATAATTACTAGAAATGAATACAAGATTGATATTTTCTCTTTCAGCAAAAAGCACAATTCATGCATCCCAATGCGTGTTATTCTTTCTTCAGAATCTTTATTTTGGCTTTGGCTTACCTCTATTTTAACCTCTGAAGTTAATTTCAGTTATTTCATCTTTAACATTCCAACAATGTTACTGTTAGTCAGAATATTTATATAACGTAATCTTTTTGAATAAAGTCATCCTTTAAGGTTATTTGACTTTTGGAAATAAGCAGCATTCATTTGGAGCCAATATAGGGAAAAAGATGGAGAGTTAATTTGATTATACAGTTATTGCCTAAAAATGGCATGGGACCAAAAAATGATAAAAATGGTTTTTGTAACTGAAGGTAGTTATAAAAAAAGAATTGCCTCAGATGTTTTGAATAATCTAGCAATGCCCAAAAAACATAGCCTCTCATTGTAATTACTTCAATATATAAGACTCATTACAATTTCTGATGTGTTCTCTTTTTAGTCATTCTGTGTATATGTGAGTGTGACGTATACCTTCATTTTTGTACCACTTTGCTCAGACACAAACCTAAATATAAAGGGGGGAAAATCCACTTTCACTTTTAAAATGTAATGTATAACTCTTTAATGAAGTGTTGTTCTCTCTTCCCACTTTCCAGGCGAGATTTCTATAAGATCTTGGGGGTGCCTCGAAGTGCCTCTATAAAGGATATTAAAAAGGCCTATAGAAAACTAGCCCTGCAGCTTCATCCTGACCGGAACCCTGATGATCCACAAGCCCAGGAGAAATTCCAGGATCTAGGTGCTGCATATGAGGTGAATCAGGAAAAAAGATAAAGTATGAATAAAACCTATGGCTATAGAAAAAATATATATAACACAGAGAAACCTTTCTTCATGTCACTCCTATTTAAAAATAAACAATGGATAAAAAGAAGAGTGGTTCTAACGCTATGTTTTAGTAAATCGTATATTCATCTTAGTAGATACCATTTCCTGCCTTTCTCATATTAATATTTATTTTAATATGGAGAGTAATGTTAAAAAGACTAAATAAAAGAAAGAAAGATTAATAGATTAATAAGTTGATTAACCAGTTGGTCTATTGGTCAATCAGTTTGGGAACTAGAATTAGAAATAAAAACAAAACCTAAATGAGGGTTGTGAACCTATTTGCCCATATGCACTGAACCAGACAAGTAACATGCAGGGCAGATATAAGATAAAATATAACAATGGATATTCTGCATCCATATTGGGAAACAGTAGGGATTGTTGTGGACTGTGATAAACTGAAGCCTTCTTGCCCTGTTTAAAGGAGCAGCTATATATGAGAATGTATATGGCAAAAACCCCAGCCAGTTTTTGCCAAATACAAATACAAACACTACTGTGTTGCCAGATCATCTAATTTTTCAAGAGAAGTTGGAAATCCAGATTTTTATATAGATTCTCCTGCTTGTGAAAATTTAATTAATTTGGTTAAATTTCTTTTTTATGCAGATGAAACAAAACACAGCTATAGTTTGAATTTGCAGCCTCTAATCTAGAATTCAGAACACTTTCATGTCATGTATCGTTTCATTTAGTCTTCACTAGGACACCATGAAGTATAGTACAGCTATGCATATTTTTATTCCCATTTTCTAGAATGGCACAGAAAAAAATTAGTTTGACTCTAAGAGTCACAAAGCTAAAACTCAATTCAAATTTAAATCTCTATGTATTGCAAAAGCTGGAAACAAATCAGAAAACATTTACAAAGAACCCCAAAGGAAGAAATCCCAAGACCTCTTAGACTAAAGAAGCTACTGAACCAAAACAGTGACTTGTATACCCAGGTGAACCCTAGAGCTGACGGGGTCCCCCTTTCTTTTCCTCATATCTTCAGGGATCCTGTAGGACAGAAATTCTCAAACTGAGGCCCATTAATAAACTTGAGAAGGTTTGATGGCCCCTCTTAAATTACATTAACATTTTGTTTCTTATTGATAATATGGATTCCATATTTTACCCTGTATTTCCATGGATAGTATCATTGTTTGCTAAGAACCCAATTCTCAAAATATTTTCTAGGAAGCTGAATTTACCATGGTCTCCAAAGAATCTACCATATTCTTTATCCATGACGTAGGCAGGCTATACTCATGAAATTGTACTTTATTTAACAACCTTTCTAGTTACTAGTTCAAATTTTCTTTTTTCTTTGTTATTATTGAAGCTTGATTGCATTTACTCTTAGGTAAATTAGGGTTCACAAATCAGAATCCCAGTACAGTATGAAGAATCTTTTGTGAAGAGAAATTTGTTTTCTCTAGAGAGCTAGGATTACTGCTGGCATTTTAATTAGTTGAAATCTGTGTGTTGGTTGGCCAGTCAGCTGAGAACCTTTTTTAAAATAAAATTGTTTCCAAGACCATGGAATAAAATTGAATTCCTTAGATAGAAGAAAAGTGAGGAGAAAGTAAATGATAATAAATGACTTCAAAGGTAGTTTTGAAAGGCTTATTCCATAAGCCTCTGATGTCCAGAAAGAAACTGACTTAAAACTAGTTATTATTTTGAGGTCTTGAAATGGTGTTTTTTATAGACCCAAATTCACGGTTTATTTCTTTGCCAAGGCAAGATTAGAGAAGTAGACTTGACAGTGAAAATATTGAAAATTCAAATCATGTAATAGTAAGAGTTTGTTTTTGTGTTTTTTAAAGTTAATCTTGCCTATTTCTGCTTCCCCTAGGACCTATTTTCTAAAGATATTTGCCCAAACATTCTGTTCTCTCTTCTGGTCTGTCACAGTGGCTTTAGTCAAAGTACTGTGGTCACTTCTGGACTAACCCATTTGTCTTTGCTTTTAAGAAGTCTCCCTCTTTTGTACATCAATTTCTATTTATCCTTCTAAGTATATTTTAAATGTTAATAAATTCTTACCATGACTCCTTACATATTATTCAGGCCCTAAGCCAAAAACATGTCTTATAAAAAAGAGTAGGAAAATACAGCAGTGTAGTAGACCTCTCTGGAGGGGCAATCATCTAATTCCCTTGACTTGCCAATCTCCTAATATTTACATGTTACGTGTGTTTGGGTGTGGGGAGATTGTAGACATGTGGGGCCCAGCTATTTGTAAAGCTGTCCTAATTTACTGCTTCTGTTACTAATGACAATCTGTCATAGTCATATCTTAATTTATAGTGTAGAGAGATAATTTAGTATGGTGGCTAACAGCATAAGCCCTAGAGTCAAACTGCATGGGAAATAAACCTGAGGAATCTATCTCACTTCTTTCCTGTTACCACCCTGACCTTCACAGGCACATCACTAATCTCAGATATGATATTTAAGTGACTAGGTGAGGTTTGATAACTTTAAAAACATGAATTAAGCAATGTGAAATTAACAGTGCATCAAAGAATTTAGTCTGTTAGAGAAAATAACTTTTGTAAACATGCCTTAATACAATACACAATGAAAACTACATCCCACTGAAATCTTAGACCCAGTATCAGAGTTGAAAAAAAAAAAAAAACACACACAAACATGAATGTACCTTAACTGAATATTACCAACTCATGATATTTTCCTCTACTGGTTTTTATCTCCTAGGTTCTATCAGATAATGAGAAACGGAAACAATATGATACTTATGGTGAAGAAGGATTAAAAGATGGTCATCAAAGCTCCCATGGAGACATTTTTTCACAGTAAGTAATTTATCCATCTACAAAGTATTACTGTCTGAGAATGGGACACTTAGTGATTATTAAAACATTATCCTCACTCTATAGTTCAGAAACTTTTGATGAAGAGTACAAGACAACCAATCCAATAATCAGTTACTGTCTTCCCTGTGGAAAGATAGTCTTCTGTTGTCACAAAGCTTCAGGGAAGACAGATAGCATTGAAAGGGCTGTCCTTCTAGCAAACCATATTAGTTAAATCAACCCTGAAAATTATGGGGGATATATGTTGGAAACCAGATTGTCCTTGCCTACTTGCTGTCTTGGAATCTGTAAACCATTTAGTGAGCAAAAGTACTGTGAGCAGAGAGAGAAAACTTCCTATTTCCATACCCAGAACTGCTTCTCTTTCATCCTGTCAACAAGCAAGGGATGATTATGATAACCAGCATTGAGGGAAGGGATTAAGGTAGAGGCTTTTATCTCCTGCCTTCTGGGGGTGCTGGGTGTCTGGAATCATAAACTCCCTTCCTCCTCCCTTTGAACCCCTCTTTGTTGAGCATTTGTATTTCCACATTCCCTGATGATGCCATATACTAGGAGATCTTAACCAAGGGTTTCAGGTCTGAAGTTATAAATAAAAAAATGTTTTAAACTAAATTGTATTTTTATGAGGAGTGAGTTCATTGTTTTCTTCAGATTTTCAAAGAGTTCTGCGAACCCCTCCCCAAAAGAAGTAAGAATCACTGTAACATACAATACGTTTCTCCATTTAGTGCTTGGGAGTGACAGTAGATTTTAAGGGTTTGTAAAGATGTATGAGTAATATGATTAGGAAGTACATCTTTATCTCCCCAGGATTAATTTGGCTATTTTATCCTGTTAGGGAAGTGACCTGTTCTCCTTGGCTACCAAAGTGATACCTGGGGATACCAGAAAGAGAGAAAGCTTACCATAACTCCCATTTCATTCTCCTTTTTTGCTTTTATTTGAGATTCAGAGAATTCACTCACCAGGGCTGGTTAGTGGAGGAGAAGTTATTATATATAATCATCATCCTCACTGTGCTAATCAGTGAGGCTTCTTAATAATACCAAAAATTAAGATTAGAACACCTGCATAATTAAAGGTCATTATTTTTATTAATCTCAAAATGATTCTTTTGTTACTTACAAAAATTAATTTTGGTCTTGTGGAATCTAGAACTTCCTTCTCTTTAAGAACTAGAATTGTACTAACGCTAGTGCATTTTTAGCTTATTTAATTTCATACCCAAGATTTAGTACAGAGCAGTAGCCTCTTTCATGTAAAGTGAAAACTACATATGTTAACATTACCCTTAAAAATTCCTTCAATTAACCATGAAGTTCAGCATTGTATAAGTTCATACACTATACCCTTTCTCAATATGTCCACCATAAATGGATTTTTCCCAGAATTGAAACATTATTTCATTGGTTAAATCCAGTGTTGAATTCATTGGCATACTATATATATATACTGTGCTATATGTATGGGCCATAGTGTATTAAAAAGTAAACTTTTTTTGTGGTAAGGGGCAATATAGTTGATAGTATATAAATTAAAAATTGTGTATGATATATGACTACAGTGTATTAAAAATATCTTTCAGTTTTGCACAATGTGTTGGTAGGAAACAATATTTTATCATTGTGAAGAAAACGAAATAATTGTAAAACATGAACTCTGATTTCTTTTCCTGATGATTTTACACTTATATACAGCTTCTTTGGAGATTTTGGTTTCATGTTTGGAGGGACCCCTCGTCAGCAAGACAGAAATATTCCGAGAGGAAGTGATATTATTGTAGATCTAGAAGTCACTTTGGAAGAAGTGTATGCAGGAAATTTTGTGGAAGTAAGTTCAAATATAGCAACTCATATTGACTCCCAGAATTTATACTTTGTACTAAAATGAGAGATTTCTATATACCTTCTCTGTCTTTTAGAGGGTAAGGGGGAGTAGTCAGATGCACAGAATTGAATTAATCATAATCCTTGATTTATGATACACTGTTGTCATTGTTTTATGAACTTACCACCCAGCCTAAGAACTAAGTGAAAGAATACCATAACTTAACTTACTTTGATGCTACTTCTCTATTCCATTCCCCTGCCTCCCTTCAGAGATAATGTCTGTCCTGAATTTTGTCTTTATTCCTTTGCCATTCTTGTTTGTTTTATCATGTATGTATAAACAGCTGAATAATGTATTGTTTTCATTGCTTTTGACTTTGTAAAAATGGCATATCATTCATTATCTTCTGGGACTGGCTTTTTTACCTACTGTTATGTTACTAGGATTTATCCTAATTACTTATAGCTATAATTCTGGATAAAATTTTATTGTGGCCACATGTTATCAATAGGCATTTAGGTTTTTCCCAGTTTTTTTCAATTCCAAACAGTGCTTTTATGAACATTCTTAGGCATATATCCAGGCTCACATGAGCAAGAATATCTGTTGGGTGGATTTACTTAAGAGTAGAATTTCTGAATAATGTGAACCAATCTTCATTTTTACAAGATAATACCATATTATTTTTGAAATTGATTATATCAACACTTCTACCAGCAATTTACTAAGAGATTCTATAGATTTGGTATCTCTCTAATACTTGGAATTATTAGACTTCTTAATTTTTGACCATCACATGGGTACAAAATGTTCTCTCATTGTGGTCTTATTTTGTATTTTCTTGATTGCCAGTTAGAATAAGAATCTCTTCATGTGTTTATTGCCCGTATTTGTTTCCTCTCTTGTGAAATAACTGTTCATGTCTTTTGCCCATTTTTCTATTGCCCTTTTATTTTTTTATTTTTTTATTTTTTTGAGACAGAGTCTCATTTTGTTGCCCAGGCTAGAGTGAGTGCCGTGGCGCTAGCCTAGCTCACAGCAACCTCAAACTCCTGGGCTCAAGCAATCCTTCTGCCTCAGCCTCCCGAGTAGCTGGGACTACAGGCATGCACCACCATGCCCGGCTAATTTTTTCTACATATATTAGTTGGCCAATTAATTTCTTTCTATTTATAGTAGAGACGGGGTCTTGCTCTTGCTCAGGGTGGTTTCGAACTCCTGACCTTGAGCAATCCACCCGCCTCAGCCTCCCAGAGTGCTAGGATTACAGGCGTGAGCCACCATGCCTGGCCTGCCCTTTTGTTATTGATTTCTAAGAGTATTTCACTCTTGCTGCAAATCTGTTGTTCACTGTATGTAATACAAATACATCCTATCAGTTTGTAACTTATCTTTTCATTATGTTTAAGATTTATTTCAATGAATAGAATTAGTTCATTTTAATGTGGTCAAATCTGTCAGTCTTTTATGGTTAGTTTTTGTGTCCTGTTTAAGAAATTTCTTTTCTGATCTAAGATAAGAAAGTACCTCAGTGCATTGCTAGGCACCTGTAGTTCCAGCTACTTGGGAGACTAAGGTGGGATCACTTGAGGCCAGTAGTTTGAGGCTGCAGTGCGCCATGATTCCACCTGTGAATAGGTCCAGCCACTGTACCCCAGCCTGGATGACATAGTGAGACACTGTCTCTAGAAAAGTTTAAAAATAAAGTAAGAAAGCTATTCACTTATATTTTCTATTAAAACTTTGTAAATTTTAGAGTTTATTCATCTTTTTTTAAATTCTGGAAATATATCTCCATGTTTTTCAAATACTTAATTCTCTCCTTTGTCACATATGTCTACTCTTAACTTTCTTTTATGTATGAAAAATACATTCTATTTTTCCTTTACTCCTTCCTTCTGGGAGAGTACCTCATTCTGATCTTCCAGCTCACTAGTTCAATCTTTAGCTATATCCATTCTAATAATATCCCATTTATTATGTTTTAATTGCAACTCATATTTTTATTCAAAATAATTCTATTTCTTATATTATTTCTTTTTCATTTTGCTAATGTCTTTCATATCTCCTTAATTATTATCATGCTTATTTTAAATTCCTGATCTGTCTTCTCTAGCACATTTGCTTGAAATATATGTGTCATTCAGTTTGTTGTCTTTTAGGGGGGAGATAGTTGGACTCCTGAGGTGTCTAGCTATTTTGGCCTGTGAGCACATATTACCTTATGGGTATTTTTGTCAACTACCTTTCCCTGTAGAGCATCTTGGGGCGAGCCCTTGCCCAGTGGTTTTTAACTGTGTTTTATTTGTTTGTTTGGGGTGTTTTGGGTTTTGTTTGGTATTTGGATCTTTTGTTTTCTCCTTCTCCAGAGTGGGGGCAAACAGTACTTGTTCCAAGGCAGTTCAGGAGAGAGGCAAGAGCAGATCTTCAGCTACTTTTTCCTCATGTCTTCTCACTGCCCTCACTAGCTACTGTTGCTCAGGTTGTAGCCACCACCCTACATACATATCAGTTCAAAACAGCCTTCTGTCTCTGGGATTTTCCCATATATTCTATCTTACAGTTATTATTTCCTGGAATCCATGTTTTTCTTGTAGTTTTTCCAGGATTTTGGAGGGGATAACCAGTAGCCTATGCATATGTTCCATCTTTACGAAAAGCATTTTCTTCTTAGTTGTAGCTTTTGCACTGAATAGTTGAAAGAAGAGGAATAAACAATCAGGGAAAATGCTATTGGCTTGTAATACTGTTGTTCAGACTGTAGGATAGAAGAAAGGGGCATTAAAAATATTTGAGCCATCTCTCCTTCAAAAACAGGAGAAGTTATTTAGAGAAAAGAGGTGAGCCTTATTAACTCCCACAATCCCTTCCAAACCTGTTGTTCTGCAGTCATCACTATTACACAGTATACATCAGTTTTTGCTGTTAGTGTGCCCCTAAACAAATTCTCTTTTAATCTAATCATTGTAAAGGATGCAATGGCTTCGCTATTTCAATGACCCCATGGTAAATTCTTTGATTAAGAAAAAATTGCATTGAGAGATAGATAAGATGTATAATGGTTAGAAGCAAGGACTTTGCAGCTAGACCGCCTAGTTTAGAATCCTGGCTGTGCCATATATTGGTTACATGGCCTTGGTCATGTTACTTAACCTTTCTATGCTTTCATTACCTCATCTGTAAAATTGAGATCATAACAGTATCTACCTCATAAGGTGGTTGTAAGGATTAATTGAATATGTGAAAGTGTTTAAAGCATTGCTTGGCATGTATTATAGTAATTACTATAAAAGTGTTTGCTCTAATTACTGTTATCGTTTTTATAATTTCTTCTGTTGTCCTGGGCTTTCATATGTTGGTAGACTTTAAAGGACTTTTCTTCAAGCATTCCTGTCATTCTGTGTCATGAGCACATACCTTGTGATTGGTATTTGACTAAATAAACGGATAAAAATAGGAATACACTTCTTCCTATATATTAATCTCATATATTTAGAGGGATCAGAAGGTTTGCTTACAGTCAACTATAAAGAGATGGTTGTTGTATGTGTTCTTGCCTGTTAAAGGAAAATAGTTCTAGATCAAGTTGCCTGAGCAAGGAGGGCATTTTATTAGGTTAATCACAGGATTGGATGGTAGCCACATACCAGTTTTTGAGGGCTGTGATTGTTCCTCAGTATGCTTTACACAGCTCAGATTTCTTAAAAGATAATGATTCTATGAACTACTTTAACTCAGTAGCATTTAGTTGTGGCTTAGAAATGCTTACGTGCTACGTCTTATTTTTGGGTTGTCTTCTTTCTTACTCTTCTCTGTTTTCCAGCTTTAGAATTTGAGTCATTTAAGTATGTGTTTGCTTCATTTTAGCCTATTTTTAGGCTGATTTGTCCTCCTCAAAGAGTTCTGTCAGTTTTAGGTCTCCCTAAGGGATAGCTTGCCAGAGAAAGGGAAGTTTCAGTCCACCCAGGTGTACAGAACCCTGAGTTTTAGTGGAAACTAATGGCTGTTTTGCATGAGAGAAAAGCTGATATTGTTTATGTACTTCTTAGGTAGTTAGAAACAAACCTGTGGCAAGGCAGGCTCCAGGCAAACGGAAATGCAATTGTCGGCAAGAAATGCGGACCACCCAGCTGGGCCCTGGGCGCTTCCAAATGACCCAGGAGGTGGTCTGCGATGAATGCCCTAATGTCAAGTAAGTGAAAGCATCTTCTTTGTTCTACTGAGAAACACTGTGTAATTTGATTTGCCTAATAAAATGCTAGTGGTCCATAACCTAGATCTCCTTCCCTGCCTCTTTCTCCCTTCCCTTACACGTTCTGTCAAAGGATAGAGGAAAAAAAAAAAGGAAATTTTTATTTTTTCCTTAAGTATTCTAAATACTTTTATGTTTCTGAACTAATAAACAGTGCCCTTTATTTCTGAATATATTTAAGTGTTAATGCTTCATTTTCTTCCTACTTGGAATGTTAGATCAATCTTATGTGTATATGTAATATATAGTAGTTTCACCCTGAATTTTAGCATGTAGAAGATGTAAATGGATATCAGAAGGCTTTGTCAAGTGGAGACACACTATAGTCTTCCAAGAAAAAGTTCCGATAAAATACATAAAACTTTAACTACTGTCCATATCTGGGGTTTTGTTTGTGTTTTCATTTTGGTTTTCTTTTTTGATCCTCTTTTGCTCAGACTAGTGAATGAAGAACGAACATTAGAGGTAGAAATCGAACCTGGGGTGAGAGATGGCATGGAGTACCCATTTATTGGAGAAGGTGAAATACTGATATTTGATGTTTTATTATTATAGCTTTCTGCTCTCTGCTTGCTTATGAATACCTCTCACCAGGTCTTAATGGCCACATAGTAAATGCATATATAATTTCTAACACTCTTCATCCAGTTTTAAGATACAGAATGTTTTTTATGATTATCATGGTTAGTCACTTGAAGCAGTGCCATTACTGCTTATCCTTCGAATATCATGGCCAAAAGTTATTGTCAGGTAGCCTAAGTTTTAAATTTTATCAGAATTTAGGGTGTTCTGATCTTAATGGATTAATTTTAAGTGATGAAAGAAGATAATGTAGCTCTAGTTGTCATTAATAAAATGCTCTCAGACCTCACCTTTGGACTTAAATTTAAAATTCTAAAAGAAAAGAAAAAGCTTTAAGACTTTAGGTTCAGAAAACCATTGAATCATTCTTTTGTTTAGGAAATAGGTCAAGTTATTTATTGCTGTACCCAAGGCACAGGTGATCTTCACTAATAACCTGAAACTTGATATAAACAGGCATAGACACTGCCCTTACAAATAGACTTGACAGAGTCAATACCTAAGGTAGTGGCTTTAAAAAATTATCTCAGTTGCTAAGTAGATTTGTGATGTTTGACTTGTGTGACTTACAGTATGCTGTTATCTGCTCTGACTAGGTGAGCCTCACGTGGATGGGGAGCCTGGAGATTTACGGTTCAGAATCAAAGTTGTTAAGTAAGTACTCTAACTTTAGAGGCCTTCTCTTTAGCCCCAGCTTTTCAGATGAGTCAGATTATGGAGATGTGAGTAGCCACCAGAGCACTTGCCGACATTTTTCTGTTTCATGCCCTTGATACCCTAGACAATTATTTGTAACTTTTTAATAATACTACTGAAAATTTGGGGTTGGGCCCTAGAATTGAGCCCCAGTTATTTACTTAATACTCATAAATCCAAAAGATGTTGAAAGGAAAGATTTGATAAGACATGTAAGAAGTTATAAAAGAGAAGCAAACAAGATAGGGAGTCGAGAAGAGCTAAGATTTTAGCTGAGGAACTGTGGCACCATATAAAAATGGGGGACTTTTCCATAGAAAGGACCTTCTGTTACATACTATTGCAGCTTCTATGATCAGAACTTTTCTGAGCTTCTCTTCAGCATGAAGTGCTGCTTAGACAATTTCACCTGGGGCTTGGGCTTTCTTATTTATTATTTCTCTCCTGTTACCACTTTGGAAACCAGTGATACCTAAGGTTCACTGAAACAGATTCCTATTGAAATAAGGGAAAATGGCCCACCACTGCCTAGGACTTTTCACTCACCTCACTCTTTAATCTCAACAACTTTTTCCCCAGTTTCCTTACCTACCTTGTCTTTCTCATCACTTCCCAGAGAAAATGGAATATGTGCTGTTCCCTGAATAAACCTGGTACCTTCTCAAGTTGTTGCCTTTGCCAGAATTCTCTTTCACTCTATTCCCCTCTTCCTCACAGCTGCCTTATCTGCATTTCCAGAGCTGACTTGGCCTTCAAGGACAGCACAGGAAATCTCCACAGATCTGTTTCAGTTGCTTGTCTCCCCAACTTCTGCTAGAAGTTGTCTTTCTCTCTTTTCCATAATCTGGTGACTAATAGTTTTACTTATGTACTTTGGCTTTTGTTGATTGTAAGCTCCTTAAGAGTAGCATTTAATGAGACTTACACAACTTTATAGTCTCAGTTAATACTATACACAAAAGCATGTCTGATAAATGCTTATTGTTTGAAAGAGTAGTATTCATCTTTGTCTCAGATTTTTCTAACAACTTTTTGAACTCTTCTCAGAGAGAGATGGAAATTAACAATTTTTACGTTGTTCTGTTTTTAGGCACCCAATATTTGAAAGGAGAGGAGATGATTTGTACACAAATGTGACAATCTCGCTAGTTGAGTCTCTTGTTGGCTTTGAGATGGACATTACTCACTTGGATGGTCACAAGGTA